TTAACCATGTGCCAACCAGCAACAAAACGGATAGTTTTAGCATTCTTGATTTATTTTATGTCAAAATTAAATTCCTTAATGAAAGAAATTGTTCCAAAAAGAGATCTCTGATCAAGATATGGTACAAAATCGGCCGCTGTAGGTTCAGTAAACAAGCTGCCAACGATGATGAAAGATGTCAGAGTTTCGGGCTGGTTTTTTCCAACATTTGCACAAATTATTCGGTGATATGGATGCCATAACCTACCTCAAACCACCTGACTTTACAAATCGACAAATATTAACGCCAATATGTGGCTACGGCAAAGAAACTTTTCTCCACCACTGGCATATTTCCATCGGTCGCTGCACGTGCATATGAAAGTTACATGCGACAACTTCGCAAATGAAGCCACGTCGTTACCGCAGCATTTCTTAATCATAATAAAGTCCAGAAAACAGATCTGAAATCACTGCGGCTTGTAAAATGTGAATGAAGTCCTCCATTACAATAGCTACCAGTTCCGTCTGTAAGCACAAAATTCTTACTGATCGGCTCAACAAAATACAGCGGCGTACAGTCTGATGTTCAATTAATTTCTACTTCGGTAGTAAACAAATACGTTCGCTTGAATAAATGTTGACTTTTCCTTTAAAACAGCTTTCATAAGTTATCATGTAATGAGTGCAAAAACTCGTGTTTTGAAGTGCTGCTGTTTGTTGTTTTACTGAACTGAGTTTTAAGAAAGTTCAACGCTATTAAATCGTGAGTCATGATTGGCTTATGATGACTTTAGAGAGAAGACGTGACTTGATCACGGTACTAAAACCATATTTTTTACCGAAAAGACTCCATTCTACTAAAAGTTATTTTATAAAAGCAATAGACCACACTTTCTATGGGTTTACCGGCGTGATAACCCACTTGGGATGTAGGGAGAACACTCGAAAAGCTTGTAAATCACTCGCCTTCGGCTCGTGATTTACAAGCTTTTTCTCGTGTTCTCCCAACATCCCGCGTGGGTTATCACGCCGGTAAACCCATAGAAAGTGTGGTCTATTGCTTAATTATACCATGCTCTCCAAATATGATAACTGTACGCGTCTGCTCAAAATTAAAAACAAGCTGAAAATCGGCTGTTTTTACAAATTAAGTCGGGAACAATTCTCGACATTTTGTGGACGTTTTAAATGAAACAATTATTCCACTCGCGCTTGTTGGATATGAGATGATTATAGCCAACTCGATCGGTGCTACGCTCCTCGTTGGCTACCTTCCATCTCATATCCAACGCGCACTCGTGGAATAATTGTTAATTAGTGAAAAATTTCACCTGCGTTTGGCCTAAATTCTAATAAGTTCCCTCACCTAAAGGCACGAACACGAATTTGGACAAAACGGGAGTAAAATTATTCCGACCCTCGTTTCACTCATCATACAGTGCTAGTACGTAGGGAGCTGAAGCAACCACCACGGAGATGTCAACGAGAACGGCAAAGAAGAAATAGGTTTGGATGAGCAAAACGACAACTTTGCACGTGCATCACGCTTTTTGCACATTTTTTTTTGCCGTCACTGCACGACTACGACATGAAAAGACCTAATTTCACGTTTTGTGGAGGACGTGAAGACAAGACAACCAATTTCTTGTTGTTTTCCTGAACTTTGATTCAGTCTTTTAGAACTCAACTCCAGAAAAACATTATGCCAACATTTGCCGCATTGAACGAGATGGAATAAGCGTGATGAAGTTTGAAGCAGCGCGTCCTCTCTTTTTGAGTGACGTTTCTGTAACCGCACCATCGTCGTTCCTCAAGCTCCCTTGTGTCAGAATTACGACCGCAGGTGTACTGGATTGTTCTTCAGAGAAATTCTAGTGTTCTATGGCTTTACCAGCTATGCGTTATTGACCAAGCGTGCGGCCAAGATGGCTGGATATTGGCCAAGTTCTTTTTCGCGTTGCGTCAGTCAATTAAAACGCTGTAAAGAACGTAACGAGGCCAATATTCAGCTACATAAAGGATTTATTATATGGCCAAAAGAAGAATTTTTCTTGCGGGACCAATGCGGGAAATCCCGAGCGAGCAAGATTGGCCCATCTTGCCCGCTCCAATGGTTATGCAGTGCTGGCGAGATCTATCGTAGATCAAAACACATCAAGTAATCAGAGAAACATCGATAGAAGGTCCAAACGTGCGTGATCGGGTGACCTGCGTCTTATGCTCTCCATTAACTCTAAGTGGAAGTTCAAACGAATGCTGGCTGCATACGTGCCACGTATGCGTAATAGCACCCTGTAGATTAGGAGTTTGGGCACCTATTTTCGCCCACAATGATCGTTCCACTTGTAATTTCAAGAGTAACTGGTACTCTGAACTTCTTTTTTTGTGCCGCTGCTAAGTACTTTTAAAAACGAAGTACGTGAGCAAACGTAACTCCGAACATTTTTTTGTGTGCTGCTGCCAAGTACTTTTAGATAACGAAGTACGTGAGTTGAATGTAACGAAAAAATACATACGAAATAAATTTAGTGGTGAACAATAGCGCTTTTGTTATGCATGATCTGATTTTTCCGCGCAAGATGCTTGACAGCTTGTACTTCAAGTAATAAACTTTGTGAACAAGTGTGAAGCAATTGATTGTTTTCTACACAGCGATCAGGTTTTCAAGTGCTTTTGAATCAAGTGTTTAATTTCTTGAAACTAACTTAACTTCTAGGGTGAAGCCAACAACTGTTGGCCTTCCAATTCAAGTGCACCCTTCAGAAAAAATGAAAACACTCGTATATTTAAGGTAAAAGTTGAATTAAAGCCATTGGAAAAAGCGTGTACAATCAAACCAAAACAAAGCAAAAGCGTCATAAAATCTTAGAGAGGTTGTATTGGGTAGTTTGGAACTTCAATTCTTTGCTTTGAACGTTTTTTTTTGTTTTGTTTTGTTTTGTATTTGTGTTGTTTTTGTTGTTTTTTTTCTTTAATCAGTCCATGAATGCAGGAGTCGCTTTGGATAAATAGTCGTTGACGTCGACACATACACACTTACATGAAACTGATACAGGCTAGTTAAATCCTTAGGATAACATTTTATTTAAATCACCATATTATTAAACTGAAGGAAGTTGTATATCACCAACATTAAGAAGGCTAACAATATCGCGAATATTTATACACTACATTTAGTAAGAGCAATACTATATAAGATTGAGATCTTACCCACTGCTCAGCATTTCGCGCCACTTATGAAAAGGAACGTTTGTCTTCATAACGTTTGCGTGGAATGCTTTTATAGAGGTCATTGAGGAGATAGAATCTGGAAGCATAACTCAATTATTCAGGTAGGCAATTTAAATGATAAATTAATGGAATTATAAAATTACTTATTCAGGTCACGCTTTCGGATGCAAATTTAATGCTGAGTTAGTGCACGTAGAGCTAATAGTATTTTCCTGCTGTAAAGAATAATCAAAACGGCTGAAAAAAGAGCCTAAACAACACCTAACATGAAAAGTAAGGTCATTTATTTTAATGAATTAGAAAGCAGGGAATAACTTGGGTTCCCCGAGTATCTCGTGATAGTACAGAAGTTAAATTGTCCTCCAGTTCAAACTTGAAATTGGTATACTCCGCGATCATTTTGTGAATTTACATGAAACACCTTATAGCCTGAGAAAATCTCATACTAATTCCCGGACACAAAATAAAATCGAAAATGTTATAATCAGTGTAACATTGAAATTATTTAAAAATATTTCGAGTTTCGATATATACAAAGTGTTCTGGCATGCTGCATGGATACATACGCCGATTTCCTGATGTTCACGCTAGTTAACTATACCCTGGTAAAGTCATTCATTTCCCTAAAATAAGCAGCCGGTGATAACTTGGTTTTACTGAGTCTCTCGAGGTAGGTACAGTCGTATTGTTCATGTTTCGTGTTAGCCCTGATTTGCACATGTGAATAACAAACTTGAGGATTGTGGTGGTTTTACTTACTTGTTGTTGACAACCATAAATGATGTCAATTTCCTTATCTCTCGTCATCATGAAGTGACCTATTGTTTTTTTTCCATACAGCGGTTTTAGAATACTTCCTCATTGCATTGACCAGGATTTGAAACTTTTTTTGTATTCTAATAACTAGTTTTCGTGTCAGTCTATCCTCTAGATCATCTCCTCTTGATGAAAATTGTACTGAAACTCTAAAGAAGTCTAAAGAACTCACAAGATTGAAATTTCTTGTGTATCAGTTTTCTCCGATGTCCTTTGTATTACAGTGTTTACGAGATAGGATGTTATATAAGTAACAATGGGTTGAAGCTTTTTCGAAAAAAAGAAATTAAGGGCTATTCCCACTTTCTTGTGCACTAGAAGAAAGTAGCAATGTGTTTTTTAAAACAATGATTTTGCAGACCTTGAGCTTAAAAAAAAATTATTCCTTTGCTTTTTGAGGTAAATCTGAATTTTAAGTATGACGGCCCCTAACGAGCTCCTGACTGGGTTGAGCGTACCTTCCAATCAATGAAAACACGATACGAATTGTGCTATGAAAGGCCTAGGCCAATTATATGACTTACTAGTCTCCCGCAAATGTGACGACAAACAACGTGTTTAAAGATGGTGGCGAATGGAAACGATTTCTCAGAATTCTTTTGTGTGCTCCACGAATCTTTCATGCCAAGTTTAGTTGATGATTTTTAAGAAACTGGACGTATTAACACAGATACTGAAGAAACTTTACGTATTTTCATCGATAAGTGAAAACGATGGATAGAGAGATAAGATACGTAATTTATTCAATGTCGAATACAGGAAAACATCGCGCAGTCATCCGAATCATGTTAAAAACGCGGAACAATCTAATATAATACAAAACAAAATATAATGTGTATTATAAATATACATATATGTATATAAAACCCTAAACTTTTAAGGTACAGCTTTATTTCAAAAAGGTAAAAATATTCGTAATATAGATTATCTTCTAGAGTTAAAATATAGGCTGTTTCTATTTGAGACAAAAAATGTTTTGAAGTATGCGGTAAGGAATTTCCTTTCTAAGAGGAAAAGAGCTAATTCCATTTTCTTGTTTTCTCTTTTGTAAGTTAAAGCAAGATTCTTGGATAATAAACTTAATGATATGTTGAGAGAAAATTACTTCTGCATGCTAACCTGAATGGACAGGACACCCAGTGTAACAGACCCAGTGGAATCTATATCATCATAGGGTTCTCGGAGAAAACGTGACTGGCTTGGTTTATTCCCCTCTGGGTTTTTGTTCTTAGTTGTATACTTCCCATGAAAGCGGAAAGGGTGGCAGTCCTTACATCTTTACTGGCATGACAAATTTGAACACCTTTAACATATTGCTCTAGCGAGAGGAAATTAAACGATTTGCATTTTTTTATGCGAGATTGATTACCTGTACACCCCGTATTTTGTTTTTGTCAATGGTAATAAGTAAAAACGTTTTATATTTTTAGTGCTTCTTTTAAACACATAGTGAAGAACGAAATACACTGGATTTGTGGAGGTAATAATAGAAAGTGACCAAGGACGCAAAAAATCAGGCGGGTAGAAACAAATTATTCTCCGGGTATCGGAGAGGCTAAATTTTCATCGGGTAGACTTGAATAAACCACTAGGTAGGGCTCACTGGGTTTTTAACCGAGGGGTGTGACAGGAATTCAAAAGAAATATAAACCCTTGCGCTGTTGTAATGTGATAAAATTTGGTCAAACTTGAAGTAAATTGTTAGAAAATTCATCTTAAAGAAAAGAAGATTTGATAGAAAATTAGCACATCCGCGCAATTCTAGACATATTGTATAACGTATGTTCGCTTTTGTTTGTTAATCAATCACTTCACTGATTAACCCTAAACGGTATAGACAGTCTTTCGGTTGTTTTAGACAAAGTTGAAATAAATTACCGGTTGGGTCGGCTCTTAGTTCAGGTTCACTGAGTGGCACACAAGTGCAGGTTTTACTTTTAGCTGTTGGTCAATCGATGACCAATCATTATCAATCAGTTATTATTCTACATCAACTTTTTAGAATCATCAAAACGCTTGGATTTTGAACTCAAGAACGAGACAAATCTAAACTTCTCCTGTGAACATATTTCTTGACTTAAGTCCTTAATCCTGGGCAAAATGTAAGACGGCCACCATCATCATCATCATTCTCATCAAAAAATAATGATAAAACTTTTATAGCAACATCCCCAACGGGCTTTTCAGAAACTATTTACAATGGGAATCAACTGAATAAAAGAGTAAGAGAGTAAAACATCCTCCAAGTGTTAAAGAAATAACCTACTTAATATATTATGATATAATTACAAAAGTTTATAAGTTACTACAATTAAATAAATTACAAATTACACTGAGTATGAAGATATTCTTTCATGGATGCCTTGAACTTTTTAAGAGAACTGCCATGCTTTATATTGTTATCCGGACCGTTCCAAATGCTTGGTTGCTCTAATGGGGAAAGTACGTTGGCCTGAAGCAGTTTTAAAAAGGGGTATTTCAAGCGAATCGCGCTTGCGAGTAAAGCGTTATTATAATTAATCGTTAATCTGTATTTGGCACTATAAATATATTCGCTCAAAAATTGTATAAAGAAGTGTTTTTTTTTTCTTAAGACTGGCTTGGGCTATTAATGTTGCTTTTAAGTAATACCTGGTAACTAAAAAGCCCGGTTAGCTCAGTTAGAAGAGCGCCGGTCTACTGAGCGGGAGGTCGTGCCGTCAAACCCCGGCCGGACCATCGACCAAGGTCTTTAAAAAACTGGTGAGATCATGCCAGCTGTGAAATCCCTTTCTCAGTTCAGATGACGCGTCATTGGGCGGTGACGTGGAGGCGGTGGCCTTGTCTCCTCCATCCTTGTACTTCAGTTGGAAGGTGACGTAAAAGAACCCGTGACATTGTTCGAAAAGAGTAGGGGACCTAGGCCCCGATGTCATGCTCTATCTGACTTGTGCCGTCATCGGTCTGGGTGGGCAAGGTGTGATCAAAAATATGGACTGAAGTGGCTGCAAGAGTGCGCCTTTACATGCTGACGTCCGATCTCACCTCTCTGGTTCCTCCGCAATTCAGCCATTGGCTGCAAGTGAGGAAAGATGGCACAACATATTTTTTTCAACCGAAGGTCTCCAAATTTTATCATTATGTCGACGAGAAAAAATGAACAACAACGGAAGATTTTCATCAGTTACTCTAAGGTTACTAAAAGTAACAACCTTAGGACTGAGACTTCTAAATCTGTTGCTATAATACATTATTTTATTACTATAGCACATTCTATGCCTTAAGAATGGCGTCATAATGTCACCAAGAAATCAGTTTTTATCACCATTATCAGTTTTTGCTTTTTTTGGTCATACACCTCATTTATCCTCTTTAGATAAATATGACGAGCTGCTTACTGGTATGTCAGTTAGTGTTGTTGTTGAGCCTGGGAATGGCGTCCTCTGACTTACCTGAACATACAGGCTCAATCGAAGGCTTGGAAACAGCTGAAACTGAAGTTGGAATGCAGGATGAGATCTCTGCTCTAGGTGATATAAGCGATGGCCACCTGACTGAAGACGAAGATGACGAGTTCGATGAAAACGAAGGTAAAAAGTTGGCCGAGGACCCACTGGCAGCAACGTATATTCCACCCTCTAGGATACGCAGAATACAATTCGAGGCGAGGCGTATTTTCTATACTTTTTGCAAGTGGATACATTTTAGACCATTTAGCCGAAAGAGGGAACGACAAACAGCTTTGAGGAAGTATTACCAGGCATTTGTGCACGGAGGAAAGAGCTTTATCAGTGACGCTGACTTGCTAATAGCAAAAAAGAGTGAAAAATGCAGCGCGTGCCTCTTAAATGAACTCTGCAAACGAAGGCATATTCATTGGTTATTGAACATCAACGGCAGACTCCCTGTGTAAGTAATCCATGGTATTATACATTGTACTCACTGTCTATGTTCTCATTGGCAAAGAGCCTGCAGTTAATTTTGGCACAACCTACACTGCTAGCAGATAACTGACGAATCTGTAAGTTGCGTGCGCAATGCGTGATTTCCAAGAGCAAAGTTAAATTGTGTTCCATGCGACGATGCGTTTTCGTTATTTATTTCAAAACAATGTAACTATAATAAAACGAGAAATAGATTCTGTTTTTGTGATACCCGAAATAATCAAGGTCTCTGTAAGTGTTGTAACAACCTCGGCCATCAGCTCGGCTGAAGTGGCTAGTGCATATGTCGGTGCAAATTTTTGTTTGGGACAGTCATTATAAATTACTCTTACTTTTGCCTACTTTCGAACACGAACCAGACAGATAGATTACTTCATGGGCAGGGCGCGCCTACGGGATTTTCGCACGAGTTGGTGATGTATCAGAAATCGAATGAGATAGCGCAGCGAATACTTCACGTTTTTCAAGTGACGATTGAAGCTCGCTATAAACCCTCTGAGGCTTGACGGTTCATAATCGCCCCCATCTTTTCTTTTCACAGTAACTTATATAACCCACTCAGAATTAAGGTCTTGTGGTTTTATCTCTTCTATTTTTCTGTTTTCTAGCTTGGATTTCAGAAACTCGGAGAGCAAGCCAGCATCTCGTCTAGGTTTCGACAACGTTTTTTTTTGTTGTTTTTCTGTTCCTCGATAAGCTGGTTAACGGATTTTTGCAAAGCTGGAAAGCGAAGGCTTTCTCCTTCAGCCGTTATTTAGCTTCTTCTGGGAAATTTTCATGAGATATTATCCAAACCAAAAATCTAAACGTTTTAACTTTTTGACAAAGCTGCCAGAATAAAACCTTTGATGAAAACACAAAGCTACCGAAAACACGGTTGCTTTTGGTGGGTGCGCTGTGATTGGTCGAAACGTTCTACTCACACAGTGAAAAAGCCGTTTCGCTTTTCTGATTGGTTGAATAAAGGCGCGAACCATGTTTTCACCCAGGTTGACTCAAACAGAATCACTCAGTATGTATGAAATACTGGCTTATCAACCATGAATAACCCCAACACAAGACGCTAGAAATCTTTGCAGGCTATCCGAGCAACGTCACAATGTGTGTCTTCTTTTCTACAAGAAATACATAAGAAATAACTTAAAAACTATAGATGGATTACATCTATTTTTAAACTCACGATTTTTACCGCTATCTAATTTGTCTGCTTATCAGGAATGCAAGAAAGAGGATCTGCAGAAGAAAAATCGTCCGAGCAGCGATTAATCTTTATTACCCCTTTAGTGCAATCAAGATAAAGTGCGATCCAAATGCAGAATTTCGAACCATCGATGGGACGTGTAACAATTTACGTAATCCTTTCTTCGGGGCAGCCAATACAACATTCAACCGACTTTTACCTGCTGATTATGGAGATGGCATCTCAGCTCTTCGCCGAGCGGTAAATGGGAAAGAGCTTCCAAACGCCCGTGACGTAAGTCGATTTGCCCATGGAAGTAACGCAGACCGAACAAATCCGAACTCTACCATACTGACTCATCTGGCTATGAACTTTGCACAGTTTACGGATCACGATTTTACTTTGGCAGAGGCACAGGGCGTTAACTGCGAGCCACCTGCCAAAAATCCGGAGTGCATTAATATTGAGATTCCCAAAGACGATGCGATATTTCGGGACCGGGAAGTGGATTTTATAGAATTGGAGAGAGATGCTCCTAGCAAGCCAGCCTCCTTCTGCAAACTGGCCCCTCGAGAGCATACAAACACTCTGACAGCCTACATTGACGCTTCTAACGTTTATGGATCAAGTGAGGAGGTTGCTGACTCCCTTCGCGCCCCAAATGGCTTACTAAAAGTTATGGAGAATCCAGATGGTGCAAAGCTTATGGATTTACTACCTGCCCGCAATGAAACCACGGAGACTTTTTGTACATCACTAGATCCATTGAGACCGTGTTTTGTGGCAGGAGACAGTAGGAGTAATGAGAACCAAGGTGAGAACAATTGCTTTAATGTTTAATGACCCTAGCAGTAAATGGACTATTTATATCCTACTTGCAAAACAGAAGGTGCAAATACCTCTTATCAGCCGAGTTCACGGTCCGTAATGTTAATTACGTACCGATGCTTTTTCCATCGATTCATAAATCATTGCCATAAATCGATCGAAAAAAAACGAGGATCTGTAATTTACAGTACAGACCGCGGAAACGAGGCTAATAAGATGTTTATGACATGGCCTTCTGTTTGAGGGACCGGAATCAAGTACAGAACACGCGATTTGAGAGTTTTGACAAGGTTTTAGTGGCTCACCAAAACAACAGCACATAACAAAGGTTTCCTAGAAAGTGAAATCAAATGCACCATGTTGAAAAAATTAATTCGGTCAAAACTAAGAGCAATGTAAGTTTTAGCTGACCACTTTAATGCTGGAGCATTTTGGAAATTGGACATTGTGCCTGTCTTCTGTCGCTTCCATCTTTCTTTCGTTGGTTTTTGTAAAAAAAAACCACTACAAATGGTAAAGAAGCTTGTGAAAGTAAGTTTCTTATCACTGTTGATGGATTCGCTCGTTTCTCTTTGGCAACAAGTCTCCAATACCTGCCAGTCCATTCTCGTCTTTTTAATTGTGATCTACGATGAAATTTCCAAACACTGAGTAGAATCCTCCTCCTCGGTAGGGTTACGATTCAGTTTCTTCATCAGCTTCGTTCTCATTAAAGCACAGCTACAACAGGTTAAAATTTGGAAGGACGAAATCAGCATCCTAGCCCTCAGGGTTTACAGACATATTGCCACTTTCTCAACTCCTCCTTTTGTCGAGATAAAAAGATTTAGACTTGCAAATTAAAATGACCATTTAGTTTTAGAATTTTGTTCCTTACAATAATTTATAGACTGCAAATTGACTAATAGCAGGGCGAGAACAGACTTAGCCATATAATAATGTCAATTGTTTCGTAACTTTCAGGTCTCAGTTCAGTCCATACCGTACTTGTGCGCCACCACAACCGCATCGCCACGTTTTTCCGTAAAAGGACAAAATGGGGACCCGAAAGGATTTATCAGGAAACCAGGAGAATCGTGGGAGCACAATTGCAAGTGATTACATACGGGGAACTCCTGCCATTAGTTTTGAGTAAGAACACGGTAGGTTTTTTTACATGCCAAATTGCAGTTAATTTGACCTGGCCCTAGTGTGAACGAATTTCACTTACGGCTGTGCTAATCAGGTTATGTTAACCGATCCCGACAAAAAAAAACAACTCGAACTGAATATTAAAGCGTTTAAACTGGCAAAACTTAAGTATTACGTTGCGGGAGGCACAAGGAATTAACTGCGAGCCTCCTACCAGAAATCCAGAGTGTGTCAACATAAGAATTCCCAAAGGCGATGCAATATTTCGGGACCGGGAAGTGGATTTTATAGAATTGGAGAGAGATGCTCCTAGCAAGTACAGTTAAGTATCCTAGCGGAGTAAATCAGAGAGAGTCACCTACTAAACCTACGAGTTAAGGTGCAGGGTATAGAGGGTAGGCCACAATATTAAATAACAATTCATTCGCACAGGAAGTGGTTTTGTGCCCTTGTTAGTTTTGTCACTCCAATGTTGGTTTTGGTTCGTAGGTTCCTTTGTCTTCGGTGTACAGTTTTGTGTAAAATATTTCCCTTTTTTGGGAAGCAATCATTATAACATTATAACTACATTGTGTGGTAATAGTTGACATTACACCTGCCCCAGCTCTGTATATTGTCGGTCAATAGTATTCTTGCTCGTTGTGTAGCTCTTTGAAATATACCGATTCATAATGAAGATTTTCACACATATTCCGTACAAACAGGTGAGATAAATACAGCTGGAAACGCAAGGTTCCATGCACAATTTCAGTTCGATTTACACAGCTTTGATCAAAACATTCTCAGTTTCGAGAATAGTTTATTCTAAACCATAAGAAAAGATTTAATTAGAAGTTGAATTTTTCGCTATTTCTCTTTCACTTTTTACATTCAGTTCATTTTATTTGCCGAAAAGTAAGCGTTAGAAATTAAAAGGACGTTTGATCAATTTACGCTCGCGCATTCTAGTCTTATTTTAAACTTTACAGCGGCAGGACATCTGTGAGCAGGGAATAAGTCAGCACAGAATTTAATTGTCGGCGAATTTCTGTAATCGTCCATCGTTCTGCTAGTGATAAGCTAGGCGTTGTTCACTCGTCTTGCTTGTTTGGGGCTGAGCCTTTTTCCGGTCAAAGAGAGAGAAAGAGTGTCTCGGGCAAGCTTTCCAATCAAAGACTTGTGAACTCGTGTCTGGCAAACTCTCCAAGTGTTTATATACATGTATACACAGTTATACGTACCTTATAACTTCATCTGTGCTTAACGAGTGTTGTTTGGTCCATAACTTTCAAAACAACTTAAATGTCACTAATAACACGCAACGCAAAAGAGTATCGAAGTATGACTGGACGATAAATGTCGCAAAATCTACCTATTAAGCGGTCCCTTCGGGATTTTCTGTCTTTACGTCATCCTAACCATTTCGTACTTGCGGGCTCAAACAATAGAAACGTCATCATTACCTACCGATTCCTCGCGGTCCCTGTTCAAGCAAATCGAGATATTTTCTGGCATACTGACTGTATATTTCAACTGTAAGTACTTTCCTTAATATACGCGCGAGTGCCTCCTCGGGATTTCGCCTTCTGGGCGAAATCCCTGCGGGGGCAATCATTATAACGCTTCTCTTACGTGCTCTACTTGAAAAGTGTGACATGTTGCTCTGATTACAACTAAATCAAGTTTAAAATACAGTGGAAGCTCTTTTAAGCGGACACCCTCGGGACGCAAAAAAGGTGTCCATAACTGGAGCTGAGCCGCTTACGGGAATGCAAAAATACAGAGTTTGTATGGGAGTTGAGAAGAACGGGGTTTTGTAAAGGCGGCTGTTAATACAGCTTTCCGCTTACGAGAGTGTCCGTAACGAGTGCTTCCACTGTATTCATTGTTTTTTTTTTCAACGTTACACAGATCGAAAGGTTTGGACTCGGACTACTGAGCGGAACGAAGTTTTTCAATGGTTACGACAAAAGAGTTAATGCTCAAATGAACGCTGGCTTTTCCGTGGCTGCCTACCGATTTGGCCATTCCCTGATTCAGGAAATTTTTAGACGATTCAATCAACGTAGTTTCCAACACAAAGAAAACTCAGAATTCCGGCCCATTCCCGTATTGGACTTTGAAAATCCACAGTACTTGTACGAGATATGTCAGGGAGGTGTAGATGCCATTTTGAGGGGATTAATCAAGGATCCAGCGGCAAAGCTTGACGGGTAAGTAAATACCGTATTTCTTCGTGCTTCTTCAAATAGGCGTCCACGCTCTAATGAGCGCCCATTTCCGAATAAGCGCCCACCTCCTAGACAAATAATATCAAACAAGCGCCTCTCCCCCCTCACTTTCTTTTAAAAAGAGTAGGGATTTTAGGGGAATGCGAAGATCTGCGCGTCATTTACGAGGATGATCTCCGGGATGATGAGATGATAATACTTCATGAAGATGCATTCTGGTATATCTTGTGTTCGTTGTTTTATGGGACTACTGTACACTTGATTGCAGCTATTGGTTAGCAAACGAAAGACTATTGATATTAGCTTCAGGTTACTATTTAAGATTTAGCCGAAGGAAACTTAACGTGACTTTGTTGAAAGGGAAACTTAATTAAGTGCCCCCCCCCCTCGCCCCCCCGGTCAATAAGCGCCCTTCCTTTTAGCCGAAACTTTAAATAAGCGCCCGAACCCTCATTCACGGAAATACGGTAAAAACGTTCTTAAATGCCAAATGTGGGCTGTTTGGCGACAAGGAAGGTTGAAAATATGCAGTTGGAAAGAGACACAGAGTGCCTATATACCTTTCATTAAATATAAAGACGATTATTTTTTTCAAGACCAAATTAAACTTTTGTCTATTTGTCTTGCTCCCATGGAAAATTAAAAAACCTGTTCTTACAGTTGGCAGATAGAGCTGAATGAGTGAGCGCCGACTTTGTTGCACCCCTCGATACCTTGCTGGTTTCCCACAAATCTGGGGTAAACCGTCCACGTCTCTGCCGATCTCTGTTAAAGGTCCTAAGCTCATGGAGTTCAATAAGAAAAAAAGTACTTGCGGTTTAGGGCGAAGAAAGTGAGTTTTTTTTTTTAAAATTTATGGATTTTGTTATTTACAATAGGAGATTTTCCAGCTCTGTACAAGAAAATCTAAGGCGAGGTGAAGGCGATATTGCTGACTTAATCAGCATCAACATCCAAAGAAGTCGTGAACGTGGAGTTGCGGGATACACTAAGTATCGAAACCTTCCGTTGTGCGGACTGCGAAAGGTGAGATCATTCGATGACTTGGAACGAAACGCCCGCTTCGACCCGAGCGACGTGGCTAATTTGAGAAGAATTTACAGGAATGTTCATGATATTGACTTTTTTGTTGGTGGTGAGTTAGTAATATCATTTCATATACTTTTCACTTTTAATTACACATTTTGTGCAAAATTTAAAAAAAAAACATTCTGACTGCTTTCCACTAGTGGTAAGAGGTTAAAAAATGGAATTTTTATCCTTTCCACGGATGTCTCGTGTACAAGACTAAAACAAGCTTACTTTTTAAGTACGAAACAAAGGTAAGGAGCTCGTAAACGGTCAAAAAGTAAGTGCTGTCAGCGGTTTTTGGGTCGTTTTCCATTTTTGCACCTCTAAAGCGTTGATTGAGCTTGAAATTTTCGCAACGATGCAAAAAAAAAGATGTCGTGATGAATGTTGCGCCATTCTGCTCTGAGATTTTGCCAACCTGGCCACTTGCAAACTTTTTTCAATCATAACTCATTCCCAGTGGGCTGGGTTCGGGTTCTAAAGGTTTTTTCTGCTCGTTGGTAAACGTTCCACCACTTAATTACCATTCGGTCATTCTTGGAGATCCTGTCTCTGAGATATCGATAAGACCGTCTATTTCAGAGAACTATCCTGGCTCTTTTCATTTAGAAGACAAGCAAATGCTGCATCGACCATCGGGTTCTGAACATAGAAAAAGACACTGAAGGACAAGTTTAAGACCACTATGTTATCTCTTTTTTACGTACATTGATGATGCAAGCTTTACTTTTAATTGCTCCCCTTTCCTAGGGATGCTTGAACCAAGACCTAGTGATGGAGGAGTTCTGGGACCTACTTTTCAATGCATTGTAGCGGAGCAGTTCCGCCGCCTCAGAGTTGGAGATCGCTTCTGGCACGAAAATGCGCCAAACCCAAGCTTGAACACTGATCAAACGGCGTTTAATGCTGCCATGCTACAGCAAATCAGGAAAACAACATTTGCTAAAATTATCTGCGACAATGCCGACTACATCCCATTTATAAGCAAGAAGGTTCTAGAGCAGAGTAAAAAAAGGGTGAAATGCAGTGCTCTACCAACCGTCAGTCTTGAGCCATGGGTATCACACTATTAAAAATGCAAAGCTACACTGGGTAAGCTGCTTTAATCTAAAGAGTAGAAGGCTACAAAAACAGACAGCTAGCAGTGTTCCTTAACCGTCTCCTTAAAGACTGGGGAATGGCTGCCTCCTGCACTCAGCCCTGATAAGGTTTCATAATGATATTCGGAAAAAGATTGGTTTTATTACACCAACAACCTGCGCCTTTAGCAAGCTGTTGGTCTATTCCATAGGAATTGGCTCTTTTTTAGGCATACTACTTCGTGACTGACATCAGCTCAAGCCGCTTCTAGGCTTAAAGGCTATTTTTTGCACTTCTTTGTTCAAGAAAGACATAAAATGTAATTTAACGCTGCAAAATACTTTATCTCAACATATTTTAAAAGTCAAGCATGAAAAACCTTAAAATTTCAGGGCCATCTAGTTAATCTGAATTTTAGTAACATTCACGATGGCGGTTAAGACGGCGATCACTTTGCGGCATGACGTCACAAATTCTTAAAAAGGCCATATCCAATATCATTTTTGTAATATTTTATCATTTGCTTTTTGCGTATTAAAAGTGGTCAGAGATTTTTTTTGGAGAATGTTCTACCACCCTTTTTTGGCGGACAACTATTGCAAGTTTTGGAGGCATTTATTATGTCATTCCTTTAATTGGGCTTTGTGAGATTTGTGTTGAAATCATACTGCAAAAACCGTAGATGATATATTGCTTACATTGTAAATTTTCCTAAACAAGGTATTATATTCGATGTTTTGCCCTAGAATTTGAGGTTTGAAGAATTACCAAACTTACCATTTTAATACTGTGAAACCAAACTTTGTTGGCACTTATGTGTCGCTGGACATAGTCTCCTGGTTTATTGGTAAAAAATCTTCCGCATTAACCAAAGGAAAATGGGAAGCAATAATTATTTTCATTGTTTCTTTTCGGCTTCTCGAAAGTCAATAGTTAATAGCCAGCCAACGCGCGCGAAAAGCACGTATTAACTTGCGTCAAATACTACTTTTACTAATTATAACTATTTTAGAAATCCCCACCACCTTGTTTTGATAAAATGCAAAAGAATGCGTAATGAGAAATGAGCATTTTACTGGCCTTTCACTCCGGGGTATCAAATATATTTAGGTCGATCTGATTCTGTGCGCAAACTGCGACCTCAAGAAAGAATTGAGCAAAGTTGAATAAATCTTCGCTCAAGCCCTATAACACTTCCTCTGTTTGTTTCCTACAGACTAAATATAACGCGACATGCATGTTGAATTTCAACCACATGTTCACCACAAAAGAGATGACCACATCCGCGATGATTTCCTTAAATCGCACTAAATAAACAACCATGCTAAACGACTAATAGGCCATTTCGATTTGCCCATGCAAGCCTCTGCTTCAAATCGAGTCTATGTGCCTCGCTATTGATATGAGTATGATTTTGTATTCTCATGCAAATAAAACTCATTTTTACATGAAAGGTTTCTCTCTTAGCCTTGTTTTCAAAGTAAGAGTTTCATGGAACTCGGAAACGGCCTATTGTTTTGGTATAAAAAGCTTAGCACTAAAGATAAACGTGGATTAGACACTCGACTATTATAGATGGCTATTTGAAAAACAGGCGACTGTTATCATAAAATTTGCCATGCATCGTGTATTGTCTGAAACGAGTCAGTGCAATAAACATTTTGCTTGGCTAACGATTTGTGTGATGTTTGTGTGTCTAACTTTATTTTAGCACCAAAAAATCCCTTTGTGTAGTACACTTCATTCACCAGTCATATCTTTGAACAGGAACGATGTGTAATCAAAAAATTGCAAATGTTTTGAAAAACGTTTACACAGAGGTAAGGGACCGGTCATTATTTATCGCCTGGCGGGGAGGGGGGCGGGTGGAGGATTTTGGGGGGCGAGGTCACTTGATTTTTAGGAGAACAAAAGTGGCATCAGTCGTAACTGAGAACCCGAAAGGTGGATCACTGAAAACTTTGGACGGATTAAGAGGGGGGCCACCAAATTTGTTTGGAAAATGGGGGGATCGCGAAAGTCATCAAATGTTATTAGCGGGGTTCACTTCAGTGAAGTAACTTTCAAAGGAGGGATCGGCTCCCCCTTCACCTTATTTAGGCCCAAATCCTATTTCTCCCATTTCTCCGACTAAACTGTATATAGTTTTGGAGTGTTGTCCTAAAAATTTGTAACCTGGAAGCAATATATTGTGACAGCTATCTTCAGTAAGCCTTGTCTCAGATAGTGCTATGATATCTGGTTGATTGCTATTAAAGTAGGGTTTTTATACAAGCTGTGAATATTGAAATGCATAAGCGAGAAACTTTTGTTTTTGATATTGTACATTCTTGATCTAGTTTGTTTGTGTGATATCTAGATTCAATAAATTCATAATATCCTACCTCTTTATTCGCCTTATCTGGATTATAAATAACGTCCTGAACAAGTCCATGGAGTCAAATAGGTTACTAGAAACGTGATAAATCCAAGCACCTGTTTCTTTTCTTCGTTAGCTAAATTTAAAAATGGAAGTTCACTCAATGATTGCATTAAGTCTTAATCGAGTCTTTATATGTGGTAGTTGCCTTTAATACTTCTCGAAATTGAAGAGAAATTAAAAAAAGAAACAAAATACCTGGAAACAAGGATCGACCAATTCAGCCACGCTAAAAGCGCTTATTGAATTCTCCAAGATCTTCTTCATGATCGAATACAAGTAACTACTTAGCTGTCTTGTCCTTTCTAATGTATCAGCCGTTCTGGGATCAGATAAACTTCCATTTAATACTTTTCCTAAATCTGTTTATTGCTCCGTACAGCTTCTTCCTTCTCTCCGTCAAAGATTCTGATTCAGCAAGGTCCGCGAATCAAATTAAAAGAAACAACTGAACTGAAAAACTAGAATCTTGGTAAAGGATAACCGTCTAACACCATTTGCAGATCGAGTTATTACAAACAGCGAGGTAACTGATGAAATTAAAGAAAATTGTCTAACACCTTTTGATGATCAAGTTATTACAAACGCAGCGAGCTGGGTACCTAATGCAAAATTCGAAAAGAAACCGGAACTGGATACGTGAGGCTTGAAACTTGGTAAAAGAAGAAGTGTCTAACACCTATTGACGATCAAATTATTAAAAACGGTGAGAAAACTGATGCGAATTAAAGACACCGGAACAGGATAAGCGTGAGACTTGAAAACTAGTAAAAGAAAACTGTCTCACATCATTTGATGATAAAGTTCTTACAAACAGAGTGGAAACAAATGCAAATTAAAAATTAAATACCGAAACAAAAGAAGTCAAAGATATTAAACTTTACACTGAATCTGAATATGGCTGATGAGGTATCAACCGGAATCAAAACAACTTGCCTTCAATACAATAGCACTGGTAGATCTACATTTCATATTCAGGTTAGGAATTCATCTTATTTTTCTTTTTGTTTTGAAGTCATCTGGAGCTCAAAGAAATTCTGATTTTTTCTGCCCGGAATAAAGCTTTTCCTCGTGCTAAAATTAGCCATAACCAGTAACAGAGCTAAAAGCTTAAATTCTTACAGTTAAAATAAAGTGTTTTTACTCACGGGGCCAGCATCTATTCTAATTTTTTGGAACAGAAGACGAAAAAAAAGAGATTTCAACTCCCGGCCACAGGATTGTCTTGGTACACCAACATGGCCGTCGTTCCATCGTTTTGAACACCAGTTGGGACTTTACGATCCGACGACGCAATTGCAAAGAGAAATTCAAAAAAACAATAGTTTAGAAGGCAGAACAACAACTTTGTGCATATATCACACCTTTTTTGGTCATTTCTTTGGTCATTTTCTTTTGCATGACTACGAAGTAAAATTGCCTAATTTTACATTTTATGGAGGGCGTTAACAAGAGACTACGAAATTTAATTTCACTTCTTCAACTTGGATAGGGATCCTAGGAACTCAACTCGAGGGGGGACTCGCCTACTTTTGATAAGGTGAATGGGTAGGAATAATCGCGATCAAAACTGGAAGAACGTAAATTCATTTTTTAAGCGATGTTTTGGCTGCCGTCGAGTCTTCTGATCGTAAAGTTCCTGATATGACCGCCGAAACTTTGTGTGAAAACTCTTTTAGTTTATAGACCGGATTTCTATGTTTCTCCAATTCCGTGCAAAGTCTTCCTACATATAACAAGCTACCGTTGACCAGATTTGAATGACGTTTTGCGATATTGGTACAAATTACGCCAGTTTTACAGAATATCGAGAGAACTAGTGACTGCACACCGACGAGAATCCCCTGGGGACGAGGTTAAGCATGGTAGCTTAGCTGTATGGTTAGAAAATGGAAAAAATTGCCCAGAAACCGGCCAGTGAAGATGGCTGAACTTTACATCGATCGAGGTATATGTAAGCAAGTTTTTACGTCTAAAATATTTTGATGAGTAAAGGCCTAGGTCAAACGTCCAACTCTTCATGATCCGAACCAAACTCTAATTTGGGTGGACCTAAATTAAGTTAAGATCGTCGAACTTAGGATGCGTGGAACTAATCAACTGAATCAGATCAGTAAAAAAAATTTTCTCGAACGAGGCTAAATATACATTATCATATCGTCGCATGTGAAGATCGACGTTTTTTCCGCCGACTATGTTCCGACGATATATGCGTCTGAAGCAGATGAATAGAACGTGTTTGGTGATTCAAACTCATCCAGACGAACTTAACTGAGCCAGACGTCGAACTTTTCATGAACTTAACTCACTAAGTTTAGTTCGTCTTATGCAATGTTTGACGTTTGGCCTTGCCCTAATTTTACAATTATTGTATGGCTTTCGTATGATATGAAGAAGCAGATCTGGGACGATTAGGTCGGTGCCCCCCGATCGATTTGCCTAATATACGGCTTTATTTCAGGCTCATTAACCTCATCCAATAATTGCTATTTCTCCGTAAGAAGGAAATGTTTTCAAAGTAAGCATGTTTTTACGTCTAAAATATTTTTGATGAGAATTAAACAATTACATGATTGTATGCCTTCCGATCGATCTGCCTAGTTCTTTATTATCAGGCTCAGCCTAAAAAAATAATTGCTAATTCTCCGTATGAAGAAATTAAATGTTTTCAAAAAAATTTCTAATCCCACCTCGCTAATTCTTTTTTGCCACCAACTCGTTTTCCCAAGGGGATTCCCAAAATACATTCTGTAGGTGGACATCACTTGAAACTGTAACAATTATTAATTTACGATATGAAGCTATGCAACTCCCATGGGAAGAGCAACAAGTGCAAATCCCACGCTAACTCCAAAACCTTAACGTTAACATTCCCGACACTTTCAACTTGTCAACTGACTGAAGCAAGCTTCTTATCTATTTTCTTATGCTGATAAGCTCGGCCAATGTATTCTAGTGTATTTTCTTGTAAAAGCGAGTAGACCGTCTTTTGACTCTTTTACCTTGGAGAAACGGGTCGGTTACCGTGTAGAATGTTGATTTCATAACTACCTCAGGGAAATAGTTTCGCCAGTGAAACGTAACTGTTACTAATTTACGAAAAAAAGTTCACCCACCCTAAACGTTTAAGGTCTCTACTGAATACTTTGGGAGGCCTTTTTTTTCTAAACAAAGTCGTATTAGGCGCTCATGGCTGGAACTGAATTAATAATGACATGAATTAATTCTCCAACTTGAATGAGAATTTTAAGTTCTACGAATATATGAAACATAACTTCACCAAAAGTCATTGAACCATTCTGTGATCTGTTTAAGCTTCAAAATAAAAGGAAACTTTAGACAATCCCAAGGAATAGATTCAACCTGTTAAGAAAATTCTCTGGCTCGAATGATTGATTCAGGTTATACATATAAATAAACTATGAATATTTCTTACATAAGGGTAAAAATTAGCAAGAAATAACGTCGGTGTTGATCTCGCCATGGCATCATTTTTAAACGACGAAATGAGCTTAAATCGACTTAACAATTTGTGGTGAAAAAAGGAAACAAATTTAAGTAAATATTTTTGCATGTAAATGGAAAGTACTTAATTGTCACTACTTATAATCAAATAGTTTTGCGCGGGTGGAGTCCGCTTGCGAGTTTAAGACCCTGTTTACATGGAGTGGGGGACCCCGGTCTAGTGGGGTAAGTTTCTTTTGTTTTGTGTCCTCCAGAGCGCGAAAACAAAAGAAACCAACCCCACTAGACCGGGGTCCCTCACTCCATGTACACAGGCCCTTATTAAGCTTGGCCTCTTCTCTTTTGGTGAAAAGCATTTCAGTCAATTTTGCTTCGCACTTCCGAAACACGAGCTGAAGAATCGAAGTGCGATGCATAATTTACCTGTCTCATTTCTGAAATGTTTTGATAAAGAAGAGCTCCATTTTTTCAGTCTTCAAACTGCGTATGTAACAAGTCAATTTTGATTACTTTTGGCACTTGAAAATTAATTTGTGTCATAGCAACATCGAATCGTTTCTTTTCTAAAAAACTTTTCTCGCTAATTTTTATTCGTCATTGTCTGACAATCTGTTTCAAGTCGACTAAATGACTATTTCACCTGGGGTAATTCAATCATCGCCTAGTCGTCTTTAGGTTAAATTGAAAGGAAACCCTATATAAATTATGCCATCTCAAGATACGGCTTAAACTTGATAAACATTGTCCAAATCACATCTCACATCATTTGATGATAAAGTTCTTACAAACAGAGTGGAAACAAATGCAAATTAAAAATTAAATACCGAAACAAAAGAAGTCAAAGATATTAAACTTTACACTGAATCTGAATATGGCTGATGAGGTATCAACCGGAATCAAAACAACTTGCCTTCAATACAATAGCACTGGTAGATCTACATTTCATATTCAGGTTAGGAATTCATCTTATTTTTCTTTTTGTTTTGAAGTCATCTGGAGCTCAAAGAAATTCTGATTTTTTCTGCCCGGAATAAAGCTTTTCCTCGTGCTAAAATTAGCCATAACCAGTAACAGAGCTAAAAGCTTAAATTCTTACAGTTAAAATAAAGTGTTTTTTACTCACGGGGCCAGCATCTATTCTAATTTTTGGAACAGAACGAAAAAAAAGAGATTTCAACTCCCGGCCACAGGATTGTCTTGGTACACCAACATGGCCGTCGTTCCATCGTTTTGAACACCAGTTGGGACTTTACGATCCGACGACGCAATTGCAAAGAGAAATTCAAAAAAAACAATAGTTTAGAAGGCAGAACAACAACTTTGTGCATATATCACACCTTTTTGGTCATTTCTTTGGTCATTTTCTTTTTGCATGACTACGAAGTAAAATTGCCTAATTTTACATTTTATGGAGGGCGTTAACAAGAGACTACGAAATTTAATTTCACTTCTTCAACTTGGATAGGGATCCTAGGAACTCAACTCGAGGGGGGCTCGCCTACTTTTGATAAGGTGAATGGGTAGGAATAATCGCGATCAAAACTGGAAGAACGTAAATTCATTTTTAAGCGATGTTTTGGCTGCCGTCGAGTCTTCTGATCGTAAAGTTCCTGATATGACCGCCGAAACTTTGTGTGAAAACTCTTTTAGTTTATAGACCGGATTTCTATGTTTCTCCAATTCCGTGCAAAGTCTTCCTACATATAACAAGCTACCGTTGACCAGATTTGAATGACGTTTTGCGATATTGGTACAAATTACGCCAGTTTTACAGAATATCGAGAGAACTAGTGACTGCACACCGACGAGAATCCCCTGGGGACGAGGTTAAGCATGGTAGCTTAGCTGTATGGTTAGAAAATGGAAAAAATTGCCCAGAAACCGGCCAGTGAAGATGGCTGAACTTTACATCGATCGAGGTATATGTAAGCAAGTTTTTACGTCTAAAATATTTTGATGAGTAAAGGCCTAGGTCAAACGTCCAACTCTTCATGATCCGAACCAAACTCTAATTTGGGTGGACCTAAATTAAGTTAAGATCGTCGAACTTAGGATGCGTGGAACTAATCAACTGAATCAGATCAGTAAAAAATTTTCTCGAACGAGGCTAAATATACATTATCATATCGTCGCATGTGAAGATCGACGTTTTTCCGCCGACTATGTTCCGACGATATATGCGTCTGAAGCAGATGAATAGAACGTGTTTGGTGATTCAAACTCATCCAGACGAACTTAACTGAGCCAGACGTCGAACTTTTTTCATGAACTTAACTCACTAAGTTTAGTTCGTCTTATGCAATGTTTGACGTTTGGCCTTGCCCTAATTTTACAATTATTGTATGGCTTTCGTATGATATGAAGAAGCAGATCTGGGACGATTAGGTCGGTGCCCCCCGATCGATTTGCCTAATATACGGCTTTATTTCAGGCTCATTAACCTCATCCAATAATTGCTATTTCTCCGTAAGAAGGAAATGTTTTCAAAGTAAGCATGTTTTTACGTCTAAAATATTTTTGATGAGAATTAAACAATTACATGATTGTATGCCTTCCGATCGATCTGCCTAGTTCTTTATTATCAGGCTCAGCCTAAAAAAATAATTGCTAATTCTCCGTATGAAGAAATTAAATGTTTTCAAAAAAATTTCTAATCCCACCTCGCTAATTCTTTTTTGCCACCAACTCGTTTTCCCAAGGGATTCCCAAAATACATTCTGTAGGTGGACATCACTTGAAACTGTAACAATTATTAATTTACGATATGAAGCTATGCAACTCCCATGGGAAGAGCAACAAGTGCAAATCCCACGCTAACTCCAAAACCTTAACGTTAACATTCCCGACACTTTCAACTTGTCAACTGACTGAAGCAAGCTTCTTATCTATTTTCTTATGCTGATAAGCTCGGCCAATGTATTCTAGTGTATTTTCTTGTAAAAGCGAGTAGACCGTCTTTTGACTCTTTTACCTTGGAGAAACGGGTCGGTTACCGTGTAGAATGTTGATTTCATAACTACCTCAGGGAAATAGTTTCGCCAGTGAAACGTAACTGTTACTAATTTACGAAAAAAAGTTCACCCACCCTAAACGTTTAAGGTCTCTACTGAATACTTTGGGAGGCCTTTTTTTTCTAAACAAAGTCGTATTAGGCGCTCATGGCTGGAACTGAATTAATAATGACATGAATTAATTCTCCAACTTGAATGAGAATTTTAAGTTCTACGAATATATGAAACATAACTTCACCAAAAGTCATTGAACCATTCTGTGATCTGTTTAAGCTTCAAAATAAAAGGAAACTTTAGACAATCCCAAGGAATAGATTCAACCTGTTAAGAAAATTCTCTGGCTCGAATGATTGATTCAGGTTATACATATAAATAAACTATGAATATTTCTTACATAAGGGTAAAAATTAGCAAGAAATAACGTCGGTGTTGATCTCGCCATGGCATCATTTTTAAACGACGAAATGAGCTTAAATCGACTTAACAATTTGTGGTGAAAAAAAAAAGGAAACAAATTTAAGTAAATATTTTTGCATGTAAATGGAAAGTACTTAATTGTCACTACTTATAATCAAATAGTTTTGCGCGGGTGGAGTCCGCTTGCGAGTTTAAGACCCTGTTTACATGGAGTGGGGGACCCCGGTCTAGTGGGGTAAGTTTCTTTTGTTTTGTGTCCTCCAGAGCGCGAAAACAAAAGAAACCAACCCCACTAGACCGGGGTCCCCCACTCCATGTACACAGGCCCTTATTAAGCTTGGCCTCTTCTCTTTTGGTGAAAAGCATTTCAGTCAATTTTGCTTCGCACTTCCGAAACACGAGCTGAAGAATCGAAGTGCGATGCATAATTTACCTGTCTCATTTCTGAAATGTTTTGATAAAGAAGAGCTCCATTTTTTCAGTCTTCAAACTGCGTATGTAACAAGTCAATTTTGATTACTTTTGGCACTTGAAAATTAATTTGTGTCATAGCAACATCGAATCGTTTCTTTTCTAAAAAACTTTTCTCGCTAATTTTTATTCGTCATTGTCTGACAATCTGTTTCAAGTCGACTAAATGACTATTTCACCTGGGGTAATTCAATCATCGCCTAGTCGTCTTTAGGTTAAATTGAAAGGAAACCCTATATAAATTATGCCATCTCAAGATACGGCTTAAACTTGATAAACATTGTCCAAATCACATCTCACATCATTTGATGATAAAGTTCTTACAAACAGAGTGGAAACAAATGCAAATTAAAAATTAAATACCGAAACAAAAGAAGTCAAAGATATTAAACTTTACACTGAATCTGAATATGGCTGATGAGGTATCAACCGGAATCAAAACAACTTGCCTTCAATACAATAGCACTGGTAGATCTACATTTCATATTCAGGTTAGGAATTCATCTTATTTTTTCTTTTTGTTTTGAAGTCATCTGGAGCTCAAAGAAATTCTGATTTTTTCTGCCCGGAATAAAGCTTTTCCTCGTGCTAAAATTAGCCATAACCAGTAACAGAGCTAAAAGCTTAAATTCTTACAGTTAAAATAAAGTGTTTTTACTCACGGGGCCAGCATCTATTCTAATTTTTTGGAACAGAAGACGAAAAAAAAGAGATTTCAACTCCCGGCCACAGGATTGTCTTGGTACACCAACATGGCCGTCGTTCCATCGTTTTGAACACCAGTTGGGACTTTACGATCCGACGACGCAATTGCAAAGAGAAATTCAAAAAAACAATAGTTTAGAAGGCAGAACAACAACTTTGTGCATATATCACACCTTTTTTGGTCATTTCTTTGGTCATTTTCTTTTGCATGACTACGAAGTAAAATTGCCTAATTTTACATTTTATGGAGGGCGTTAACAAGAGACTACGAAATTTAATTTCACTTCTTCAACTTGGATAGGGATCCTAGGAACTCAACTCGAGGGGGGGCTCGCCTACTTTTGATAAGGTGAATGGGTAGGAATAATCGCGATCAAAACTGGAAGAACGTAAATTCATTTTTTAAGCGATGTTTTGGCTGCCGTCGAGTCTTCTGATCGTAAAGTTCCTGATATGACCGCCGAAACTTTGTGTGAAAACTCTTTTAGTTTATAGACCGGATTTCTATGTTTCTCCAATTCCGTGCAAAGTCTTCCTACATATAACAAGCTACCGTTGACCAGATTTGAATGACGTTTTGCGATATTGGTACAAATTACGCCAGTTTTACAGAATATCGAGAGAACTAGTGACTGCACACCGACGAGAATCCCCTGGGGACGAGGTTAAGCATGGTAGCTTAGCTGTATGGTTAGAAAATGGAAAAAATTGCCCAGAAACCGGCCAGTGAAGATGGCTGAACTTTACATCGATCGAGGTATATGTAAGCAAGTTTTTACGTCTAAAATATTTTGATGAGTAAAGGCCTAGGTCAAACGTCCAACTCTTCATGATCCGAACCAAACTCTAATTTGGGTGGACCTAAATTAAGTTAAGATCGTCGAACTTAGGATGCGTGGAACTAATCAACTGAATCAGATCAGTAAAAAAAATTTTCTCGAACGAGGCTAAACATACATTATCATATCGTCGCATGTGAAGATCGACGTTTTTTCCGCCGACTATGTTCCGACGATATATGCGTCTGAAGCAGATGAATAGAACGTGTTTGGCGATTCAAACTCATCCAGACGAACTTAACTGAGCCAGACGTCGAACTTTTCATGAACTTAACTCACTAAGTTTAGTTCGTCTTATGCAATGTTTGACGTTTGGCCTTGCCCTAATTTTACAATTATTGTATGGCTTTCGTATGATATGAAGAAGCAGATCTGGGACGATTAGGTCGGTGCCCCCCGATCGATTTGCCTAATATACGGCTTTATTTCAGGCTCATTAACCTCATCCAATAATTGCTATTTCTCCGTAAGAAGGAAATGTTTTCAAAGTAAGCATGTTTTTACGTCTAAAATATTTTTGATGAGAATTAAACAATTACATGATTGTATGCCTTCCGATCGATCTGCCTAGTTCTTTATTATCAGGCTCAGCCTAAAAAAATAATTGCTAATTCTCCGTATGAAGAAATTAAATGTTTTCAAAAAAATTTCTAATCCCACCTCGCTAATTCTTTTTTGCCACCAACTCGTTTTCCCAAGGGGATTCCCAAAATACATTCTGTAGGTGGACATCACTTGAAACTGTAACAATTATTAATTTACGATATGAAGCTATGCAACTCCCATGGGAAGAGCAACAAGTGCAAATCCCACGCTAACTCCAAAACCTTAACGTTAACATTCCCGACACTTTCAACTTGTCAACTGACTGAAGCAAGCTTCTTATCTATTTTCTTATGCTGATAAGCTCGGCCAATGTATTCTAGTGTATTTTCTTGTAAAAGCGAGTTGACCGTCTTTTGACTCTTTTACCTTGGAGAAACGGGTCGGTTACCGTGTAGAATGTTGATTTCATAACTACCTCAGGGAAATAGTTTCGCCAGTGAAACGTAACTGTTACTAATTTACGAAAAAAAGTTCACCCACCCTAAACGTTTAAGGTCTCTACTGAATACTTTGGGAGGCCTTTTTTTTTCTAAACAAAGTCGTATTAGGCGCTCATGGCTGGAACTGAATTAATAATGACATGAATTAATTCTCCAACTTGAATGAGAATTTTAAGTTCTACGAATATATGAAACATAACTTCACCAAAAGTCATTGAACCATTCTGTGATCTGTTTAAGCTTCAAAATAAAAGGAAACTTTAGACAATCCCAAGGAATAGATTCAACCTGTTAAGAAAATTCTCTGGCTCGAATGATTGATTCAGGTTATACATATAAATAAACTATGAATATTTCTTACATAAGGGTAAAAATTAGCAAGAAATAACGTCGGTGTTGATCTCGCCATGGCATCATTTTTAAACGACGAAATGAGCTTAAATCGACTTAACAATTTGTGGTGAAAAAAGGAAACAAATTTAAGTAAATATTTTTGCATGTAAATGGAAAGTACTTAATTGTCACTACTTATAATCAAATAGTTTTGCGCGAGTGGAGTCCGCTTGCGAGTTTAAGACCCTGTTTACATGGAGTGGGGGACCCCGGTCTAGTGGGGTAAGTTTCTTTTGTTTTGTGTCCTCCAGAGCGCGAAAACAAAAGAAACCAACCCCACTAGACCGGGGTCCCCCACTCCATGTAAACAGGCCCTTATTAAGCTTGGCCTCTTCTCTTTTGGTGAAAAGCATTTCAGTCAATTTTGCTTCGCACTTCTGAAGCACGAGCTGAAGAATCGAACTGCGATGCATAATTTAACTGTCTCATTTCTGAAATGTTTTGATAAAGAAGAGCTCCATTTTTTCAGTCTTCAAACTGCGTATGTAACAAGTCAATTTTGATTACTTTTGGCACTTCAAAATTAATTTGTGTCATAGCAACATCGAATCGTTTCTTTTCTAAAAAACTTTTCTCGCTAATTTTTATTCGTCATTGTCTGACAATCTGTTTCAAGTCGACTAAATGACTATTTCACCTGGGGTAATTCAATCTTCGCCTAGTCGTCTTTAGGTTAAATTGAAAGGAAACCCTATATAAATTATGCCATCTCAAGATACGGCTTAAACTTGTTAAACATTGTCCAAATCAAATGAAATTTTATCATTACCGACATATCACCGCTTCACAAACGATTACTGAATTATCTCCTGATTGCGTTGGCTTTAGTTTCAAATTGTTCTCAGTGGTAGATCGTATAAAGAGAAGCATCTCACAGACGTACGCTACAGTTGCCTCTGTCTCGGATCAAGACGATTCAGACTGTCTCCGTTGATCAGTTTGATTTGTACCAAGGGGGAACATACATCAGGAAATCAGGTAAACATCCACTATAAGAAAACATTGTCTTTCTTATCTCTTTGTATAACAGTATTTTTAACTACAGGTAGTCGGATCGCGTTGGGACGACCTAAACATTAAAGAACCGCGTCACGAAATTTATCGAAATTCACACAGTTGATTGAGCTGCTTCCGAATTAAATAAAAGAGAAAAATAACGGCTCAAAACATTTAAGGAAGGTACAAATAACACATCAAATACAAAAGAAGGCGCGGATGGACAAACTTGAAAAAGATTAAAACGGATTGCATATGCCGTTTTGCTGAAAACGTGTTAGCCTAACATTTTTTCAAATTTTATTTTTGTTATTTGTACCGTGTGATTTAATTCTTTGAGAGAGATATTTGTTTGATACGAAGTTGTGATTTTGTATTTTATAGTAAATGTTGGGTTTATGTCAAGTTCCTTAGACGCGTTATTTACAATATTAACCCAGTGAACAAAGACAGCGTGACACAGCCCCTCTAACTGTGTGGTAAACTAAACTTGCATGCAATAAAAATAGCAAAATTTTTTGTTTATTTCTTAATTTATTTCTTTATATTATTAATTTTAACGTACTCCAGTTGTTATCCGTAAGGATTGCTTGAGGACCCTTTTCCCTGTTAGCTCGCAAAATATAGAGGAATATCTCCCTTATAAAAACCACAAGAGACCCAGTCACTGGTTTCTTAGTGATGAAGGTATTCAGCAACTGATCATCAGGGGCACTCAACGAAAAATTTTGGAAAATATCTGTTCGGAAGACGATTTGAGATCTAGAATTTTCGGAACATTTGTTGTAAAATTTCTTGCTTGCCTGCCTCTCCTAGGATTTTCGAACATCTAAAACATGGTGTAATTGCACATTTTTAACGGATTTTACGATACCCTAAAAAGATCACCGAGAGTTTTCGGGAGCCTTTTTTCTGGCTAAAATTTTCGAAAAGGTAAGTTTTGATCCCATCACTAGACTTTCAGTTAGCAAATCCGAACAGTTCAAAAATTTTTAGGGGATAAAAATATGCCTATATCTACCGTTTAAATACTAAAATACGTTCAACAATGCTATGTTTACGTGGTTTTGAACTATATTCTCGTTGGATGCCCCTGTGATCATGACTGTTCAGCTAACAGAATTGGAGCTTCGAAAGTCCACAGATGCTTTTTTGTTTAATGAAACTGAACCACAGTAAAATCCTTTACAATAGTCGATATTGTGAGAGTTTCGGGCGAAGGATATCAGTTCGTGCAGGTTAAAGCATCGTACTTCTTGATTCTCAAGCAGCGGTTACAAGAGACCTAATTTGGCCATGTCCTGCTTTTCTTCTCATCCGTTGCATTTAGAGCGAGGTCGGCGTCCGCGTATACATAGGGGTTCTGAAAATACTTTCCTTAACAATAGAGAGTGCTCTTCGTTGAAGATGGCAACCAAGTCCGTTGAGAAAGCAGCTATGAAAAAAGACTGAAAAGATAAGACTCTGAACAGAGTTTAAGCAGTCTCGTTAAGCGCAGACACGCCCTATGATATAATTCCCTGCAGATAATGTTGACATGAATGTTATTTTTTACATTCTATGAGGCCTTGCGACACACGGTCAAAAGTCTTAGCTAGTGAGGGCGCCAAAGGCTGGGTAGAGCTGCTGCTTCAGCCGTCTGCTACTTTTGATTGAGAAGCTCGATCTTTTGCAGTATTTTGCCAGCAAATGAGAGGCAGGGGTGATTGAGTAGAACTTTCTGCATTCTGCAGTTGTTTCTTCATTGGTTACAAATAAAAGGATAATACCTTACTAATCATGGTTGGGCCGCCAGAGGTATGGCCTCAACTTCGAATGCCTCGCCACACGATTGGCAACATGAAGAGGTTGGGGGAGAGATTTCACTTGCTGATTGATCTCTATTTGCTCGAGGCTGTCAGTGCACGTTCCTCCTTCTTGAAAAAGGGTCTTTTCAGCGCATCCATATCCTGAAGATTGGCAACCTCTGGTTATGAGGAGTAATAGGGAGCTTAAGCATGGACGTTTTTTACCAGCGTTCGTCAACCGGAAGTGGACATTTTCAATTACTGGGCAGTTTTTTTTTTTGGTTGCTCACATTTTTGTGCAAAAATCTGTTTAAGAATAACGACACTTAGCTATACAAATTTGATAGCGTCAAGAAATAATTACAAGAGAAAGACTTCACTTCCGGTTGACGCACGTGCGTCGCTCAGAAACGCCTAACAATAATGATAACGTTAATGATGACACGATATTAGTTTAGATTCATTCCTTTTTTGTTTTAATGTATGTTTTGTTTAAGTTTTACCAAGAGCTCTTGGTTTTACACTTATTTATTCGTTTCTTTAGTCAACCATGGCAATTCGCTTGCTAATTTGTCAGCTGGTGTTCGTGTTAGTACTGGCACAGGCGTCATCTTCCATTCTTGATGACACCAGCTCAGGTAGTGGTGCAATTGAAGACACACCTGAAATAGAAGACGAAACGCCAGATGAGAATTCTGATCTTGATGACATAAATGATAGCAACCTGCCCGAAGAAGAATTTGATGAGATGACAAGCCTGGATGAGATAGACGATGAGAGTTTGCCAGAAGAATTAATGGCCGAAAAAGATCTTCCAGAGCCTAGCAAACGCAAAATTCAACGCGTGGCTAGGCATCTTGAAAAGCGCTGTAGATGGAGAGCGACACGAGTTTTTCGAGCAAGGTACACGAAAAAACGGCCGGCCTTGAGATTGTACTACCAGGCGTATCAACATGGAAAAAAGAGTTCCATTAACGACAAAGAGTGGAAAAAAGCATTAAAGAGTGAAAAATGTAGCGCATGTGTCTTAAATAGGCTCTGCAGAAGGAGAGGGATTCAAAGATTATTGGGAATCCCGAGAATTGGTTGGTAAGTAATTGAATACCTTGTACATATCATCGGCTTTTTATTAGATCAAATAAATAAATTACACGACACTATAAGAGACAGATGTTACTACATATAGACTACGACTACTTCATTTTACCCGGGGATAGTAGATCGCAAGAAATACTCTAGCTTTTTCTTTTCGAATGAATAATATCATTCTGGCCCCAGTCGTTTAAAAGGTGTATAACGCTATCCTTCCGTTCGGATAAATCACTATCAAACTGGATAAAGCGATTGTGAGTCCATAAAACTTATTCGCTGGATAGTGATTAATCCAAATAACAAATAACAAATGCAGATTACCCCTAATAACCAGAAAATTACATACTGTAAGAACAGAACTTTATTTTTGGGTAGGTAAATATTTTTTTGTCTACCTTAAAGGAGGAGGCGCAAGATGCTCTGCAAAAGAAGAATCGTCGCTGAAGGGCTTGATGTTAACGTGCCTGCCACAGAAATAACGTGTGATCCAAATTCTATATTCCGCACCATTGATGGAACTTGCAACAACCTACGAAATCCTTCATTCGGGGCAATCAATACACAATTCAATAGACTTATACCTGCTGATTATGGAGATGGCATCTCAACTCTTCGCCGAGCGTCATGTGGCAGAAAGCTTCGCAACGCGCGTGACGTAAGTAGGATGGTTCATGGCAGCAACGCAGATCGAGCAAATCCCAATTCCACCCGACTTTCCCATCTAGCCATGAACTTTGGACAGTTTATGGACCATGACACAACACTAGCGGCGTTTAAGGGCCTCAACTGCGAACCACCCACCCGAGATCCAGAGTGCATCAACATTAAAATTCCCAAAGACGATGCAACATTCAGGAAACGGGACGTTGATTTTATCGAAATGGAGAGGGATGCTCCTGTAAAACCGACCTCCTTCTGCAAACTGGCCGCTCGAGAGCATACAAACACCATAACGGCTTTTATTGACGCTTCCAACGTTTACGGATCAACTGAGGAACTTGCTAAATCTCTTCGCGCCGAAAACGGCCTACTAAAAGACCTCCCACATCCAGATGGTATGGGGCTTGCCAATTTGCTGCCTCCGCAGCCAGAAGATTCCGAAGAATTCTGTCCATCACTAGATCCGATCAGACCGTGCTTTCTGTCAGGAGATATACGAAACAATGAGAACCAAGGTAGGAACGCTCGTTGTAACGTTAAAGCTCTATTATAAACCCTATTCATACCGACATGGACCGAGAGGGTAGAGGATTTCCCTCATTCCTACCCCTTGTCCAGTACACCGCTGTTGCTCCTAGCCTGCCGAGGAGCAACAGGGGCGCTCCCTTATATAAGCTGTATTTGTGTGTAGGGCACCAAAGCGTGTGGCATCTGACCTTTTTTATCCTGAAATTAATTGCCGATTTTAACCGCAGGGATGTTTTTAGGTTATGTTTTTTCTTCTCTTAAAGCAGGGTCTGTCATCTGTCTCTTGAGAACACTGGTTCAGGGTTAAATTAGGGCAGGGGAAAATAAAGTCATGTATTTTTTTTTCTGAAATAGGATAAGGGTTACATGAAACATGCCGAACGCCCCCTCTCGAACGTTTTTAGGAGTACCCTTTTGGCTAGAAAACAAAAACAATAAATAAAGACAGAAATAAGGTCGTAAATCAGCACGTAAAATTGGGCAGTTGCAAAACACTAATTTTAGACCCGAATTTAACGCGGCTAGAACTTTGGCGCTTCCAGGATTTTTTATGACATATTTAATACTCAACGGAAATTATTCAATTCCTTTCAATCAAAAAAGTTCTAAATTAAAGCATTTGAACCTGATCCAATATCGTCAAACACCATCTGACAAGGCGTTCAAAAAGATTGGTCCAGTATTGATATCTTTACTAGCTCTGGGGGGGATCACTTTCATATTTTGTAGATTGTTTATGTCAAAGCCTCCAAAAATTGGCCACCAAAATCATAAGGATAGTTTAGAAGCGCGACGTTTAATTTGATTTCTTTTTCCCGCAGGGCTCAATTCAGTCCACACCATCTTCGTGCGTCACCACAACCGGATAGCCACATTTTTACGCAACAACAACAATAATAACAACTGGCCCAGCGAGAGAATTTATCAGGAAACCAGAAGAATCATCGGGGCACAACTGCAAGTGATAACGTACAAAGAATTCCTGCCATTGATTTTGAGTTCTGAAGTGGTAAGTGGAATGTCAGTATGCTTAGGTCGCCCCATGTCGAGGGAATCCAAGACATTCTTATGGATTCTGGACCCCACGCAGTGGATTGCGGATTCCATGTACTGGATTCCAGTCTTTGTCAGTGGAAGCTGGACTCTGGATTCCGATCGTTAGTGGGATTCCGGATTCCTTGAGCTGTATTCTGGATTCCAAAACCCAGGATTCTGGATTCCTGACTAGCCTGCGTAGCAAGCGTTTCCTTTTGGTTTCGGAGCAAAAAAAAAGACCGTGGAAAGGGATTTTCGGTTTTGACCGCGCGAGAAATGAGACGAGAACCCAAAAAAAAAGAGGGGAAGGGGAAGGGGAAGGAAGGTTTAAGGAAAGGAAGGAATGTTTCCTTCCTTTCTTCCCCAACCCCTCCCCGCTCTTTTACTTGCGCCAGTTTCGCGCGGTCTTTGACTCTTGTTCCTCATTTTTTGCTCCTAAACCGTACAGAAACACTTGCTACGCAGGCTAGGATTCCACAAGCAACATATTTTCCCAGATTCTGGATTCCACAAGAAAAATATTTCCCGGATACACACATGGGGCGACTTAAATAATGCCGATCCGAAAAAGGCGGAAAGCAATTTCCTTTGTTCTGGTAAATGCGTTCTCCTCACTTAGAAATGCTTTCTTTTTCACACAGAAAATGCATGAACCTACACTAAGGCAGTTTACGAAGTAAAACTTCATTTAGAAAGGCTGTTTCTTTGTGTTAAAAGAGTTCGACTATTATCAGAAGAGTTTACAATTTCACATGTCCCTCAGGTGAAATTTCTGTGTTATTAAGATTGTGTCATAAGAAACTTGGTCAGAAAACTAAGGATTAATATGCATGCTGATTGAAAGGTTTTGTAAATTTTGCACTGTTCATTGTAAAGATCAGCCCAAAGTGCCAATGGCCCCGCATGATCTGTTGCAGCCGTAGGAAATTATTCAAGGTCACAAGTCTTACAGGAGTCCCACACTGGCCTGAACCTGAGCTGCTTGATATATCTTGCAAATAATTATAACGATAACCCTTTCTTATCGCTTCCTTTTTCCTCATATTTAAGATAAAAAGATTTGGTCTCAGGTTACTTGAGGGAGGAACGTTTTTCAGAGGCTACAATAAAGGAGTTAATGCTCAAATGACAAATGGCTTTTCCGTGGCGGCTTACCGATTTGGCCACAGTTTGGTTCAGGAGATTTTTAGACGATTGCGTGAAAATGGTAAAAAAGAGTTTCGGCCTATTCCTGTATTGGACTTTGGTAATCCACAGTACTTGTACGAGAGGTGTCAAGGAGGTATAGATGCTATCTTGCGGGGCTTAACACAAGACCCTTCAGGGAAAATTGATGGGTGAGTGGACGAACTTACAGTCAAAGGGATCATTCGTAAATCCATAGATTTTGTTTTAATTTAATTAGGATATTTTCAATCAACGAGAAAATTGTCAAGGTGTTGTCCTAAAATGGGGGGAACTTAAGAAAACAAAACAATCCACACTCCTCCCATCCATTCGAAGTTGGGTTTTTGTTGTTTGTACAAGTAGCTCGAACAGCGGCACAAGATTGCGTGGAGAAGGTGGGGGAGAGAAAGCTTTATTTTCCCCTTTTTTAAGTTGTCAAAACGCCAGAGAGGTACTTTAGGGCCAAAGTTTCTCAACTAATTTTGTCATCGATTGTTTTCCAACGGAGATTTTTGATCTCAAATTCACTTGATTTGCTATTTTAAAAAACGAAAAATCCGAAAATAGATTCATTCTTTAGCGTACCAGCAACACATTGGCCAGAATTGAACTGGTGAGTTCAACCCACTACGAGGTCCCCTTTCTAGGGCGTATCTTATCTGTTGGCCAGAAGGCACGTGCGTACTTTAAAAATGTCAAAAACAAAAACAAAATAGACATTTTGATTGATGTGATTGAAAAATATCGGTATCGTCTCCGAAAAACTGTATGGAAGTTCCTTACAAGGCGGCAAAAGCCCTTGCTTAGAGCCATAGAAAAACGATGAAATAAGGCAAATGCAGTTTGGCTAATATTTATATTTGTCATTTTCTTTGAACATTTTGCCCATTACGAGGTGAATGTGAGTCACATGACTTTGGTTGACAAAGGAAACGTTCATCAGATAAATGCAAACGTGGATATAAAACTGCTTGCCAAGTTTCACAAAGCTGAGAGAAATGGTTCTACTTGAAGTGAAAATCAACTCAAATTGTGGTTCAGCCAAGTCTTTCAAGACACATGAATCTTTCATGTCTGAAGTCTATACAGAGGAGTCGTAATCGCATTTCTTTAAATTTTAGCCAATTAATTTTATATACTGTTTTATTTTTAAGGAGATTTTCGAGTTCCGTACAAGAAGAGCTCCGTCGTGGCGAAGGCGATCTGTCTGATTTAGTCAGCATCAATATTCAAAGAGGACGTGAACGCGGAGTTCCGGGATACACGAAGTATCGTAACCTGAAGTTATGCGGACTGTCAAAAGTGAAAAGTTTCAACGATTTGACAAGAAAGGCTGGCTTTAAAGCAGAAGACGTTGCAAATTTGAGGAAGGTTTACAGAAACGTGCGTGATATTGACTTGTTCGTTGGAGGTGAGTGATACAGAGCTTACACTTTTTGGTAGACTTGCTTCAAGTCGACCTCTCATAGGTCGTTAAAGGTGAGCGAAGCGAGGTCGCGCAGCGACCTAGCGAGCGACGAAGTCTTGAGGTCGACTTGTTTCGCCTGAATGGATTTGAATCATATTCAGTTACTAGAAATACGTGAATCGCAGGACCTCGTATAGCATTTTGGGGGAACGGCAAGAAGTAAGAAGAAACGGAAATAAATCGATTAACATATAGGCTGTGTCGGAAGCGGCGTGAAATATCACCCACTGCACTGTCCTATTGGTAATTGTCATGACGCCATCGGTAGAATTTCAACCGGTGAATTTCGCACCAAACAGAGTGGCAAAATGGCATAACCAACCAGTGAAAAAAAATTAAGTATTGGCTCTAACTCTGTCACTCATGATAGTCGGTCCTAGAAAAAAAAATCACTGAAAAATTCAAAGAAATAAAATGGTGTAATTATGCAAACGTTTGCTGAGTGTCGATAGGGTTCGTTTGAATGCCAAGGCCATAGGATTTTGACCATAGATTTAAAAGATAAGGTAACCGATGATATATTCATGACGTACTAATGTAGTGTAAAAGCGTAAAATTGCCATGATATAGTAATCCGAAACTCGCTAATAAGAGAAGGACGTATTTCTGTATTGCGTTGTAAGATGGAAGTGGCCAAAGTTTGGGTTTCTTGGTTATGTCTGCGAATTTATCTCTAGTTGAGACGGGTTTAAAACTGTACTAAGAGAGAAAGTTTATAGAAGATTACTTTGATCTCCATCCTTGGTTCATAATTAGTGTGTAATCAGTCATTTTCAGGCATTTCAGGCTATATTCAAGCTGCTTTAATAACTTTCCAGTGTTCTAAACTCTAGGGGAGTGATCAATCGTACACAGTGTTTAAATAAATCTGAAGAAGAAAATTCAGCAGAGATGGTTTACCTTGCAATAGTATAAGAGCGCGCGGGAGCCACCTCAGCCAATGTGCTTTTTTCGCTGTTGCCTTAACTTGTTTTTTTTTTATTTCCTTTCACAATAATATTCTTATTTGCATCCAGTAAGTAGATTTAATTTGCTTCTTAATTCTCAGGAATGCTGGAAGCAAATAAAGGGTCAGAAGCCCTGGGACCAACTTTTCAATGCATTATAGCCGAGCAGTTCCAGCGCCTCAGAATCGGAGATCGTTTTTGGCACGAAAATGCCCCAGACCCAAGCTTGAACACCGATCGAACGGCGTTCAATGCTGCCATGCTACGTGAGATCAGAAAAACAACGTTTGCCAAGATACTCTGCGACAATGCTGACAGCATCTCGAAAATTAACCCGACAGTGCTGAGGCCGTCAAGCTCAAGGACACCTTGCAGCGCCTTGCCCACGGTTAGTCTTACGCCATGGATAACGCCACATCGGGACTCAGGGTAAGTTTTTTTTTACAACAACTGAACGACTTTTCGCTCACTGATTGGTCGAAAGCTATGATCGATAAGAGTGCTAACCAAGTATAATTTTTGTCGATTTGGTAATTTGCCTATAACGATAGTACCATGTTACCATGCATATTCTCCTGATCTGACTGCATTGTGATCGAATGATTAATTATGATTAGAAGGAGCATTGGAACTAGGATTATGATCATATCGTGATCGATCGAGATTTTGGTCTTATGCTGCTGATGATGATGATGTCGTTGATGATGGTGACGACGACGACGACGATCACTAATGATGATAATAGGGAGCTTAAGCAACGGCGACGGCAACGAGACCGGCAAAAAAGCAATAGGGTTAGATTGGCAAAACAACAACTTTGCACGTCCATCACGCTTTTTTTTACATTTCGTTGCCGTCGTTGCACGACAACAACGTGAAAGTGCCTAATCTCACGTTTTGTCGAGGACGGGAACACAGACAACAACTTTCTTTTTCTTTTCCTGAACTTTGATACAGTCCTTTAGAATTCAACTTCCAAAAAATTTGCCAAAATTTGACCAATTAAACGAGATGGAATAAGCGCGAAAAAGTTCGAGGCAGGACGAATTCACGTTGTTAGTGACGTTCTCGTAGCCGTCGCCGTTGTTGTTGCTTAAGCACCTTAATGATGATGGTGGTGGTAGTGGTGATGGTGATGGTGGTGGTGGTGGTGGTTGAGATAGTGATATCAATTTCAGTTAGACACGATTGCTCGAAAAGGAAAACGAGAGTTCAACCAGTAGTGATACCACCTCGACTAGACTAAGTTGTACAAATAAAGTTAAAATATTAACATCTTTTCTACCCACAGATCACCTGACGATGATGATGACGGCGGTGATTCATCTGATGATGACCCCAACTTTTGAATATTGCCTCCTCAACCGCAAAAATGACCGTATTCCCGAAAAGGTCTTTGCTTAAATCGTAGACTAGATAAACGACTATTATAAAATTGTCATGCATAGTGTATATTGTTTTCAAAAAATGCAATAAAGACTTTTGCTTGGCTATAAATATCTGTCTTTTATGTATATAATTTACTTTTGGAATACAGGGACCTCTGAGAGGGATCGGGGCTCGGGGCGTGGGGAGGAGGCACTTTTTGAGACTGGGGGAAATTTTCAGTATTACCTGGTTTCAGTTTTAGATCATCCGAGTTTCATAACATACCACAATTCAGGGAGATAACTTTAGTAAGAAATTTTTCATTTACAGGCTGACTTCATTTCAAACTTTACAACACCCTTCTTTCAGATTTCACATTTTGTGATTTTTTGCACTGTCTGACAAGAGGTTAATACAGAAATTACAATGCATTACAAAAGCAAGAAAAAAATAAAGAACAAAATTAATTACATAAGTCATGAAAGGTGAAATGTGCGCAGTGACCAAAGGAGCTTAGGCTTTCGAGTTGGTCACTGCCAGGTACAACTAACCGGCGTAGACATTTACGCCGCCATAATTATGCTAATTTCATTCTTTGTTCATCTTATTTCCTTTATTTCAGACTTTTAAACCTACAGCTTGCGTCATTTCGTTTTAATGCCTTTTGTTGAAAGAGCGGTTAGATTATCGACAGATTATCGACTGTAAAATTAACATGATAATGACGTTAACAATCTGTCTTTTGGATCATTGTGTCTCTGAATGACTGAAGGTTTAATTTGTTCGGCTCGGAAATAAACATGATAAAGTTTATTTGGCACTGAATACTGCTCTTTTTGCTACCTTCTATCAACGCAGGGGCGTAGCTACGGGGGGGGAGTCCTGGGGTGCCCCCCTCCCCACCTTTGTGACATATTAACCGACAAGCAGCGAGACGGAAATAGAGTTTTATTCCATCCTAATTTCGTTTTATTTTGCAACATTTCCCTTTTTACCTTTTCCAGTTCAAGGGGCATCCGCTTATTTTCAACTTTAAAGGGCTATTATGGCAAAAATAACATTAAAAATTTGGTGCACTTACACCTTAATACTCCCCACTAACATGGTCACCCTTACGGGTTCCCGGTCAAAATGGACGTTAAACCATTTATGGATTAACATAACATATAACACAACATGTTAAGCCTTTACTTTGACACGATGTGATTTAAACTAGCTAAAACTTTTGTGAGGTTTTGAGATATATATACATATGAAATATTTAATGGGATGGCTAAGAACAAAAGGTAAAATCTAAGATCTAAAATATTGATTTTCATTTTAATACTGAATCACTTTCTCTGTACCGAGATGTTAGGGCAATAAGTCGTGCTCTTATTTCCTTAAAATTTAGTTTAGTTATTCTATAATTATAAGTTCCAACGAACAGACCCATGAAAGGCCAATGAGTCTGTCAAGACTGAGTCTGTCTACAAAGCCATACGTTTTGCAGAAAACGTAAATAAATATCATTTTTTGTACACCAACTTCCGCTGCCTTGAGTAAACACTGGTTTAGCCGTGATTTTTTAAATGAAACAAAATGTTTAAACATTATTCATTTAAATTCAAAAAGCAGTCGCAGACGAGCCATCACAAAATCTAGCAAGTTCGCAAGGAGCTTTTAAGGACCTGTTTTAAGGTTTCAGTTACCCATTTTTATTCTATTGAAATTTCAATGGTCATTATCCGTTATCATTCTCTTTTTTCGTGCACGAATCCGGAAAAACTTGTACTGTTGCAAGCGTCTTGCATTTTTTCAGAACTCGCTAGCTCGAAGTAAAATTCATTAATTTTGTTTATTTCTGTTGTTTTTGTTGTTGAGGGCGACCAAAACGTACAATTACCAATTTCTCTCGGTTCCTACGGCCTGCCTTTGTGGGATGCTGATCAGTGGTGAGCGAAATTGATTTTAAACAATGCGTTTTCTTTGTGCATAATTAAAAGCTATCAGCCTCAAAAAGAACAAATAATCGAGAACAAGCAAACACCCAATGGACATGCGAAATAAAGTCACGCTTCATTAGGATTACGACATAAAACCAGCAAATGCTGTATTAATTCCTTGCATCGATTCGCCCATGTTGTCAGGTTCAACCGTCACAATTTGCTCGCCATAATGGGTCTAAAGAGTAAAATCGCTGATGTTGACATCCCAGAAAACCTCTCTTGGCCACAGTTCGTGTTTCAGAACTTTGAACAATACGGTGACAAGACGGCAATAGTAAGTACAGATGGGGTTCTTTCTTCATCCAAGAGGAACAAATTTGCTTTAAGATGTTGTTTATCAGAGTCGAGCAGGATTCTCACGTCTTTCTCATATAGATGTTTAACTGCTCGAAAACCTGAAGACGCAGAAATCAGTACTTCAACGGGATACAAGAAGTCACGACTTCAACAAATATTAATACATTTGACATTTAAATTGGGCGAATTAGTCAATCCCACTTCAATTGGCAGTTGCATATTATGGTATTTTCAACAAACCATCGACCAATTTAATTGTAACTGAGGGCTACGACCTGTGTATGTGTTATTGCGTGTAATATCGCGTTTTGCTGTAAAGTTCAATGGAGTTTAATAATCGTTAATTGGTGTCAAAAATATCGTGACTCAATGCCCAAAGTGCTAATTACTGTTTGTCTCACCTTCTGTCCAAGGTTACCATGACAATAGGCATCGTTCGTTTTGTCCTACAATGTTTATTGTTTTTTACTGCCCCGTCCAAACGTACGCGTTTTTGTTTGAAAACGGAGATTTTTTTCCATATTGACCTACCGTCCACACGTATCAGGTGAAAATGGTCACCGAAAACACATCTATTCAAAAACTTTCTCCATAGTGAAGATTTTTTTGAAAACGCCGGGCCACTCGTTTACGTGTCGATGGACGAAAACGAAGGTTTTCCAATACGGTGATGTAATACATCATTTACCACTAGCATAACGCATGCTCTGTGAGGGATGCTATCGTATTTCCAGTGTTTAGCGTTTTCATATGGACAGGCGAAAACGATTCGAATACGCCACTTGTGGACGCGTATTTTTCTTGAAAACGGAGGGGAAAAGATCTCGTTTTCAAAAATATCCGGATACCTGTGACGGAGCCTGCGTCTCTGATTTCTGCTAAAGAAAGGCTTAATATCTTTTACACAGCTGCTTCAAAAAGATTTAAAATGAACTTTCCTAGGGGCTGTAACACCACGATGAAGAGCAAACTACATTAAATTACTAAAAACCCAGCTGACGTTTTTGGCCATGAAAGAAATTCACTTTAAGTAACCCCGTCCGGCTTTAATTGTATCTTTGACTAACAACTGGAAAAAAAAAATGAAACTTTAAAAAGTCGGGGTGTTGTGTTTGTTTGTTTTTGTTTTTGTTTTGTTTTTTTGTTTTTTTCGAGTTTTATTGGGTTATCTGGCAAATATCGCTTAAAAAGCATCGGTTGAAGGCTTTGCATTTGAGAATGAATAGTATTCCTCTTGCCTGAGCATGAGTCGTTGTGCATGGGCCATTTCGTGAAGGCCCCAGTTGTTCAAAAGGTGAATAGCGCTATCCACCGGATAAATCACTATCCACTGGATAGCTCAGTTGGTTTCCTTAACACTTAATATCCGTTGGATAGTGATTTATCCCGGCGGTGGGTAACGCTATCCATCTTTTGAACAATTGGCTCCAGGAGAAGATAAGTCCTAACGTAATTCACACAAAATCCTGGGAGAATAATTTTTAAATATTGCCCAGTAGAATACAATTTCATATGTGGGTTAGCAGACATCAATAGATAGAGGATATTACACGGTGGCGCGAAGATATGAATTTTATTTTCGAGTGACAAAACAATATTTTACGAACGAGCGCAGCGAGTGAGTAAAATATTGTTTTTGCGACGAGAAAATAAAATTCATATCTTCAAGCCGCCGTGTAATGTTCTTTTTATTATATAGACAAAAAGACATCAATGAAAAAATAGATTTTTATTCGCCAAGAAGTAATTGCGACGGCTCAAATTTACAGTACAGCTATATGACATTGTGGTTACCATAATCTTGAGAAATAACACTGAGCTGAATAGGGCTCTACAATGACAAAATATACGCAACGCTTTGAAAAATGTGGAAGAAAAATTCAAAAGACGCAAGACGCCTACAAATTTCGAAGGGAGATTACCGAAATTACGTCATCGATAAACTCATGTGTGAGATTATGGAAAATAAACCCCTCGTGTCCCGGATGTAGTTTTTAAGAATTTTACGAGTGGTATATTTTCCAGTGAAAACACTCGTGTTTATATAATAAAAATGTATTAGGCACTGTAATATATAGTGCATATCTATGCATTCATAAATTTCCTTTGAACATTTGTAAGTGATTTTTTTTGCAACCACAGAGGAAATGATAAATATTTGGTCTTGAACTGCACAGTAGCAAAAAAATAACACAGGATATTTGTATGTTAATTGACGACAACCACCAGAATCCTTCAGTTTGTTGCTTTCTTGTGCAAATCAGGGCTATTGCTGTATTTGCACGTATCAAGAAATCGTCTATTGTACCGGGTCCAATTCACCAAGACAAGAGCCTTTTGTCCTATGTGATGCTTCCGAAAACAGACCGAACACTGCAAGCAAGTGCGCTGGGTACCCACTAAAGTCGCCGGAAATCCCACGCACGCAAACGGGACCACGTGGCCACCTTAACTAGTTCCAGGTCTATGTTGGCCCTTAAAACACAGTTTAGGCTATTTTCATACAATACCGGATAGCTTTTGCGCCGCCATGAAAATCATACTGGACAGGGCTTCTGTTCACACATAAGAACGGTTGTGGCGGCGCGATTTCTGTGACAGAGCAAAACAACGCGGCGCCGATCTCCAGAGGAGAGTGGTGCTCACACTATACCGGCTATATAGCTTTTCGTGGTGCCACGAAAAGCTATAGCCGGTATAGTGTGAAGATAACCTTTGCCAACCATAAACGTCAAGATTTTTTTTCCAACCTAGTTTCATGTTTAATAACTAGGAAACAATGTGTAAATTTAATTTCATCAGTGTTTGACGCAAAGAATTGTCAGCAGCTGAATATCAGTAGAGCTCTAAGCAAAATGGTAACCAATCACATACTACCAAGTAAATATTCTGAGATCTTTTGCACCGTATTTTCCTCCTGCAAAAGTACTTTAAATAATTTATTAGATTCTGAGTATTAATTGCTGCTTTCTATCTACTTAGGCCGACGGTCTAACTGGTCGTTCATACACATTCCAGCAACTAACAGTACTAACCAAAAAATGCGGCTCAGCTCTTACGAAAAGAGGTTTCAAAAAGGGCAACGTATTTGCCATTTTGCTGCCTAATATCCTGGAATATCCCATAATATATTACGGTGTCATTTCGATTGGAGGAACAGTAACAACAATGAATCCTTTGTACACAGAGGAAGAAATTGCGCATCAGCTGAAAGATGCAACCGCCCAACACATAATAACAATACCTTTGTTTGCTGAAAAGGCGAAACAAAGCGCTTCAAAAGTCGGTATAGAAACTGTGTTTGTTGTCGGGGAAGCTGACGGCTGCGAGCCTTTCTCGGTCCTCCTCCAAGACGATGGCGAAGAGTTTCCAGAAGATGTTCAATTCGACCCAAAGGATGACATCGCCTGCTTAGCCTACTCCAGTGGAACAACGGGTGCTCCGAAAGGAGTCATGCTGACTCATTTTAATCTGATTGCAGATGCATCTATTGCCCTTCATGAACGTTTTTATTTGTTGAACGAAAACCCAGTCGTTCTTGGGCTGTTGCCCTTTTTTCACGCTTTTGGACAGATGACATCTTTGTCGTGTGCTTTGCTGAAAGGCGCAACTGTTGTTTGTGTAGCGAAGTTCGAGCCGGAGTCTTTCCTCAAGATAATGCAGGACTATAAGGTATAAGCAATCTGGATAAGATTGTAAAAATTGCTTAAAAAACAATTTGTTCGAATATCGCTTGGGTTTATTCATTTTGCTAGTCCTAAAATGTGCGACAACATTAGTTGAGACACTTTGCCTTAAAGGACTTTTCTGACGTTTTGCTGACTTCAAAAGGGGAAAATAAAGCTTCCCCTCCCCCACCCCCTCCATGCAATGTCGTGCCGCTGTTCGAGCTACCTGTAGAAAACAGCAAATATCTCCACTCTGATTAGAGGGGAGAGGGAAGGGGTGTGGATTGTTTTGTTCTCTGAAGTTACTCTATTTGAGTACAATGTCTCAATGTCTTTGTCGCCTATTGTTGGCTATTAAAAAGAGAAGTCACTAGAACTCTGTGATCAATTCTCAGGTTAGCCATGCAGCCATTGTGCCTTCTACTTTGATGTTTTTAGCCAAAAGTCCGCTGGTTGAACAGTTCGACCTGTCAAGTTTGCAAGATGTTTCGTGTGGAGCAGCACCTCTTGGCGAAGATCTGTCAAAAGTCCTCATGGCCCGCCTCCCGTCCATAAAGTGGTTACGACAAGGTAACCAGTTTGAGCAGTTATGGCTTAGAAATTCAAATTCGTCTTAGGAGCTTTGGCTGTTCATATCAAACGCAGTGGCTAGTTGAAGTATAGTTCACCTTTTTCGATTGTTCTATACGCTTTGTTTTTCCCAAAATATTTGCGTTTGTATTCTATTCAGTTTTATCTTGGGACGCATGCAAGGCCAGCAGGAAACATAATTCGAATTCAAAATTTTGGAGGGCAAACAAAACGTATGATGGGCAATGCGAAAATAGAGAGTTGACCCTTTATATAACCGAAACAAATAATGCCATCCAAGCCCATCTGGAACTTTTAAAATAATTTTATGCCAAAAATTAGCGAGTAGCGTTCGAGGGCTGTTACTTTTCCAAAATTTAACAAAGTGTCAACATTCACCAATCTGTATAGGGTGGATCTAAGTACATTTGTGAGTTTTAGAATGAAATCCTAATGCATCACTTTTGAAATGAAAGCTACTGAGCAGTACGTTCCTGTTTTTCTGTGTTGTATACTATGAGTGGTTCTAACTTTTGAGTCTGTGTATGAAATCCCAAAGCTTTACCATTGAAATTGAAGCTCAGATGAGCAGCACTTCTCTTTTCTTGATCTTGGATTAAGATGAAATTAGTGACCCATCAATGAAATGATGTTCTTTACTTTGGGTAGGTTACGGTATGACTGAACTTAGCCCTGTTAGTCACGTTTCTCCCTGCGACGATAGCATCAAACACGGATCTATTGGGCTGCTTCTACCAAATCTGGAGTGCAAAGTAAGTGTATATATTGCGAGAATAACTGACTTGCTAATATGGAATGACAAAAATAATGGCACTGCAGAATAATCACAAAAGCGACATGAAGACATATGCGACGATCATGACAGTGACGAAATTAGATCCGACAACGGCGACGGCGACGGCAGCGAGAACGCCAATTACGCGTAGGGTTAGATTGGCAAAACAACAACTTTGCACGTCCATCACGCTTTTTTGTACATTTCTTTGCCGTCGTTGCACGACTACAGCGTGAGGACGGGAACACAAGACAACAACTTTCTTTTCCTTTCCCTGAACTCCGATACAATCCTTTAGAATTCAACTCCAAAAAAAAATTGCAACATTTTACGAATTAAATGAGCTAGAATAAGCGTCATAAAGTTTAAAGCAGCCAGCATTCACTTTTTAAGTGACGTTTTTGCAGCCGTCGCGGTCGTCAGATCTTAATCTCCCTAATGACGCCGACGACGACGACGATAGCGATGATAATGATGATAATGATCACGATGGTGATGACGGGCGCGATCCATTGAACCAAGCCGGCTATTCCGCATTAGTAAAATCCAAATAGTGGTTATACTACTAGGCCATATGTTATAGCCCACTAGTAGCGAAAAGCGGATTAAAGGATTAAAGTCTAGCTTTAGCTACCTAAGTTGTTTTGTCTCGATATTGTTGACCAACTAGTTGGATTTTACTAAAGCAATTATTTCTCTCCCCTCATCGCCTCTGAATCAATAACCCATTCGACCTTCGGCCCCATGGCCCCATGGTGTGTATGGCCATCACCATTCCGGGCTCGAGGAATAATTGTTAAATATCTCCTGAAACTTCGCTGAGTAATCGCTGAGTAATCGCCGGTCTTATTGAAGGTGAAGCGTTTCTGTCGGATATTTGATCGGAAATTTGTTGTTCTAGCTTGACCATTTCTATCAGTTTTCAGTACTAAAACTTTTTAAATTTTGTTGGTCCAAAACTGAATGAATTGGTTCAAGCTTACGGGCCTAGGGCTCGATATTCGTCCTAATATAAATAGCCAAAAAAAAGACGTTGCTCCAAAATCGCCTCCCATTCAAATCACAAAATTTTTAGCCTGCAAAGTAGGCGTATTTTGCAGTGCGAAGGACGATTCTATATGTTCTTCCACCATTTCGGACCTTAAAACTGACACAGAGTTGGGGCGAGTGACGGTCTGCCGCTCCTCCCTTAGTTTTTTAATTGCTGTCAAGATGGTGGCCGCGATAAATATACCTTTGAGCTCTCTTTAAAAAAAAAGCCTGCTCTGCAGTCTACAAAAATTTGTAAAGATCAATTTCGACGACCAACAAGATGACCACCACCACCACGACGCTGATGATGATACCGCATAATGATGATGATGATGATTTTAGATGAACTACAAATGGAATTATCATTTGACAAACATCTTGTTTTTGCAGATTGTCAACATTGAAAATGGGACTGAACTTGGCCCTAATGAAGACGGGGAAATCTGCGTAAGAGGTCCTACTGTTATGAAAGGTAGGAAGCAACAGTAAGATGCGGAAATGAGAGGCTTTCATACATGGTTCTAAGAGTGAGACATTTTAACTTATGCAGTTGAAAGAAAAAAGCCTACAATAAAAGTATTGTCTCTCTTCTCAACTCATGCAAAATTAAAATATATACGATAAACTGAAACGACTACAGTAGTATTCAAACCACTTTTATCTCGTTTTTAGCGTCAAACTTTGGCAAGAAAATTGTCGGCTTGTAAAATGATTTGAGAGTTACTTGAGGAAACAAACTGTCATTTTCACGTTAATTAACACTATGGCAACCAATTCTATTAAAGAAGTTGTTAATTATTACATTTAAATTATTGGCGTTTTGATGTTTTCTGATAGAAGCGTGAGGCGAGCACCACTTTTCAACAAAATTTCAAAATTAAGGAAAGTTTTCGTTACATAATGTTCTCAAGTACCCAGGTTGACGGTGAATAGGTACCAGGTGCCCGTTTCTCTAAAGTCCAGGTAACTTTTAGGGCCCGAATTCAAAAATTAAAATCGAAATATAAAGAATAAGAGCGCTGCTCCTGGCTAGCGAACTACTCCATTTTGTTTTATTAACTGGTAGTGTCCTCACGTTTGATGCAAAACTATTGAAACCTCTATCTTGTATGTAAACAACAACAGCTTACGGGCACGTTAATTATCGGGACTTTTGAGAAACAGGCCCCAGAGAGGATCAAGTTCAGCATGAAATAATACGTGTAATGGACTTTTCACTGATACCCCCAGAACCTCTCATGGTCCAGTTCTTGGCGTCAAGTTTTTTAAAAAATAACAGGGAATATGAAGACTGTATTTCCCTCAAGAAAGCCCCTGCCGTTATGGTTATCTTGATTTCCACAGGGCTCGACCTAATGCGTATTTTGAATCTCTTCAGGGTACTTGAATAACCCAGAAGCCACTTCGCAGACTATTGACAGCGATGGATGGCTACACACGGGCGATATTGGACATTACGACGAAGACGAATATTTTTTTGTCGTTGACCGACTCAAGGAGCTCATCAAATACAAAGGATTTCAGGTACTTCGTCAGTTTATGTGTATTAATCAAGTGCTTTGTTTTCTCTACTACAGTGAGGTTGAAATTGCCAAAAATTGTTTTTGATTGTAAGCATGTGCCATCGTTCTGTCCTGAGCTTTGTTTTTGGGCAGGACCTGCTGTTCGTCAGGAACTAGAAATTTAGAGGAGACCATTATGAGCGGGAGCCAGCCTATATTTCACCCTAAAGAGTAAAAGATTCTAAACTTCTTCTAAATTACATAATTATTTTTCAGTACACCTGACGATGCTTTGTCTTTCTAGGTTGCCCCGGCCGAGTTGGAAAATCTCCTTATTTCCCATCCAGCAATATTGGATGCTGGCGTGATCGGAGTTCCTGATCCTAGAGCGGGTGAGCTGCCAAAGGCGTTTGTCGTACGAAAACCGGACGAACGTATTACAGAAGAAGAAATAGAAAAATTTGTTGAGGAGCGGGTAGCTCCACACAAGGCTTTAAGAGGAGGAGTGCAGTTCATTGATCAGATACCAAGGGCTCTAAGCGGAAAGATACTTCGTAGGCAGCTCAAAGAAATGTCGAAAGCACAGATGGAAACTTTGGTTGAAGACAGGGTCAAGGAGGAGGGAGCAAATGTACTTAAAAGTAAATACCCGGATGTTGAGATCCCAGATAATCTCTCATGGACGGAGTTTGTCTTTCAACATTTTGATGAGTATGGAGATAGAGACGCTATAGTAAGTGTTATAGTTGATTAAAGAAATGGCCGAAATGCACACGAAAAAGAAACATTTAAAAACTGATGTTTTAAGTTCAGGTACAGCGGGGTCAGTAGCTAAGCACCTTCCTCCTACCATAAGATCCCTTATTTTTTTAGTTATTTAA